CGTGAGATTTTGATTTTTTAACAACCGTAAGAAATAGCTAGATGGCTTACAAAGCCGGAGACAATGGGCAATATTTTCCACAACACAGAAATGAATGTTCCTTTTGAAATAGAAAAGAATTCAGCCCAGTTACTCAAGCATTTACCCTCGAAGAACGTAACGGACGCTGCCATTTTTCTTGTAGTACTACCAGCGTTAACTGGTTTTACATTTCCGGCGTTTGAGCGGCCGAGCCACAAACAACAAATCGAGCTGTTCATGAACATACCAGAACAAGCTGCCCGAACTCAGCCGGTGATAGATCCGTTACGACTGTTTAATGTTAATGTCGAACACAAACAGTAGACCATGGGTAGGTTACAATGTTGCAGCCAGTTGATCAACAACAATGGCGGAATGACGAGTGATGTGCTACTACAAGCCTTTGCTCTTTGATTAAATATGCCACTCATTTCCGTGTCCGTTGCCAGTCTTAAAAAGCCAACCCCATCCCCCCTATACAAACAAAACTGACCAGAGACCAAGTATTTTTTGGGAGCCTAAAGGAAAACAAACACGATTTCTGTACCTCATCTTTCAAGATGAAAGTAGATGAAGCCGCATGGTTAAGTAACAGCTCTACCTCCATAAAGGTGGTAAAATCTTTGCAAACCTCCGTGGGAATTGTGAAAGGTCTCAAGAGAGTTCAAAAGGCAAATAGTGCAAATGTACAGCACACAGGGGATGACTGGAAAAAGCCTTACTTTTGTCTTCCCCTTGGTGTGGTCGGCGGTGGAGTTTTCGACTGATGACTTCTCCTTCTCCACTTTCTTGTGTGATCGGTTGGAGGTCAGTATTGCAGCGAATGTCTTGAGCTTGGTGCCTCGTTCTCTGTGGGGCAGGATCAGCCTTGGAGGCACTGGATGGATCTGAGTGATGACAACGGAAGGTGTGTGTAAAAAGGACAGAGGTTCATCCCTGACAATCGGCTCGGTGAAATTAAGGGGCTGGAGTCGAGATCATCAATAAACAGTTCCCACAAAAGTCTGAAAAAAATCCTGGAGCTTTTCCAGGGCTAAACTAGGACAACGTCCGTGACATCTAATGCCATTCTTCATAAAAAAAGTTGTTTGGTACTTTGTTCTGGAAGACAGCCACGGCCAGACATGGATTGCCGACAAGGATAACCTCCAAATTCATTTTTTTATGTTAGACCATTATCACATCAAAAAGGGCCCATCAAAAATAACCCCTCCATGGCCTTCATTTCCATTTACTTTCCTAGGATCTCCCAGGACTGCCTTTTTTTCAGGATTTTCCATGACCCTGGGAACCCTCATCATAACACCTAAACACAGACCCATTCACAAGACCAGTCACAAGCACCAGAGAGCACAATGACACAGGAGTGCTTTTGTTACCACTCATTTCAATAGTCTTTGCCTTGAATTCAGACTGGAGATCTTGTGTTGCTTTTCTGAGGGGATTGTGGAGCCTTGTGATAGTCTTAACCCTAACCCTGCTCCAAGCATGCTTTAAGCACTATGCTTAATCCAACAAAATCCAAGAACTTAAAAAGTATGAGTACTACTCAATCCAACCAGGTCCAACACTTAAAACTGTTCTGATACTGCTCAATTTAACAGCAGAGTCATTCCAGCATTTTTGAAAACCCAGCTGAGTTCAACAAGATCCAACAAGAATATGCCATTCACATCTACTGCTCAATCCAACAGGATCCAACCGATACTTCCACCTGTTGGATCTTGTTGTGTTCAGCTGGGTTGGGGTTTCAACGAGAAGACTGCTGGACATCCTCTGAGTAATTTGCTTCATTTATTTGCGTGGAATGGATGAAATTTCTGGAACATTTTGAGAGTTCTCACTGCTACTACGTCTGCGGCACACATACAATTCTGCAACAAAGATTAGAAAACCTCCCATGCTCAACCTCTGACCTCACAGAGGTGGTCAAAGTGAGTTAACTGCTAAAACAAGAAAGCAATGCCAAATCAGAAAACCATATTTGCCTTTGCATCCCAGAACTGACCTTCTTTCTCTTGGCGGACTGGAGCAACGCATGCGCCACTGTCTGTGATGTGGTGTTCTTCTTGATGGCTGCTAATCCTCCGCCCCCTCTGCCCATCTCCTGTCTCCCCCCATCTTCCGTCTCCTCCTCGTCCTCCAACTCCTCTCCACCATTCCCGTCTTGTCCCCCGTCTTCCTGGGACAGGCTGTGCCTCTTGCGGTGGACGAAGGGCCTGCGCTTCTTGCGCCGCTTGTTCCCCTTGCGCACTGGGGGCAGCAGTGACTTCATCGGGTTCTTGCGGCCCGGCGGCCGACCGATGTGGTGAAATTTCCTCTTCTTGCCGTACTGGTAAGCTGTGAGGCAAAGTAGAAGGAAGAATGTGACTGGATCCGACAAAATGAGTCTCAAGGCCACAGTTTGGGTGGTTTTGCTTAGATCTCACCAAGTTTTTAGAAAAATCCCACTGAGCCCTTAGTTTGGATGAATTACTCAGTTTGGTAAAGTGGTGAAACTGGACAATGTGTGGGTGGAAAAATGTTGTTGGTTTCAAGTGTATGCATTGTGCAAGATTCTTGAACAGGTCTTTGCCTTAATCAGGATGCAATGTCCGGAGAATGACCTTCAAGTCTTTCGAAAGGTTTAGTATTAAAGAAGCATTCAAAGAGGAATGCTTGCATTGCCTAGTCATTTGTGCACCAGTGATGTGGAGCCTCCGTTGCTAAGGAAACAGCGCCCTCTCTTGGTCCAGCTCAAAACCCATAGTGGGTGTCAAACATCAACAAACAAGACAAAGTGTTTTCACTGTTGTTTACCAAAAGTTAAAGCTGATTTTCGGTACAGCACTCAGCACATCAGTAGTCTGGGAATGAGAGAGGCAGCGTGGTACCCCACCCTTCACAGACACACACACACTTACTGTATTTGGTCTTGGTCAGGTTGGTGCAGTTGTCGGGACACTCCTCGTCATCTTTGACACACCTGAGAGACACCAGGTTGGGACAACACTCCAACTTGATGCAGGTTGTTCGCAGGTACTCGGTCATCTCAACAGAGGACTTGCAGATCTCCACCAGGGAGCGATAACTTTTGCCCTTGTACCTTGTGGGCCAACGAGAGAAAGAAGTCCCACAATATTTCAAAAACATTTTAGCACTGCACACTCTCTGTCATCTTACAATCTGCCCTGCCTTCCTCTAAGAAAAACCACACCTCTCTGACTGTAAGATCTATAACTGTCCATTAGGACAAAGTGTGGAAGTTTTGTTGAAGCACCACAGGGATCTGTCTTTGCCAAAAGATCTGTCATGGCGCTGCTTAGCACCGAAAACTTGCTAAGCATATATAACACCTGCTTAGCATAAACAGGTTATCAGCCAAATATAGAAGTAGAAGCTGTGTTGAAGCACCACCGAGATCTATCTTTGCCAAAATGTCCAAAAAGTATTTTGGACAAGCCTCGAGCAAGCAATTTAGAATCATACGCTCAAATTTTCTTCTGAGTGAGTGCTGGACTCAGGAGTAGAGGCTGTTTAATTATCCCTTGGTGGATGATGTAGAAATCCTGAGGCTTGTTGGGCTTAAAAGATAAGAAAACTGAAGCTAGACTGGGGGGGGGATATCAGTGTGCACTCACATCCAACTATTCTTCGCAAAAAAAAACAAACATTCTAACATGCAAAAGAGATACATCTTTATGTGATGTCACCAAGACCAGTTCCGAGACACTCACTTGGCCTTCATGACTTGCAGGTGGCCGTTCATGCCTGCCGTCTCCTCACTCTCGATCTCCAACTCCTTCAGCACCCGCGGCGGCTTGTAGGCGGCGTTGATGAGCAGCGACAGCACCTCGCGAAGCACCAGCACCACGATGCCTGGCCCCACGGCCTTGGGCAGCTCGGCGATGCGGCCTTTGCTCAGGTAGGGGCCCGAGAAGCACTTGTGGTTAAAGAAGACCTTGCCGGTCCAGTCACTGTCGTGACCTGTGAGGGGTCAGGGGTCAATGGGAAGGGTCGTGGACTGTGTCACACCGATTATTCTGAATAAATACATCAACTGATGAAATCAACAAGCATTTCCCAACAACTTATTGTTTCAGAACTGTATCCTTCCAAAGTGGAAAATATGGTAAAAAGTACTGTATTTATAAGAATAACTTTAAATAATGCACTGCGAACAAAACATGCATAACAAAAATATGTTCTGAAAAGTAATGACAAAACATCACTGTTGTCTGTGGGTAGTTTTGGCCGGGAATAATCAGCCAGATTTTGACTCCAAATATTCACATGTTGCTAAACATGGAAGGTTGAAAAACCTGGCCTTCTGTGACCACCACGGTCATTTCAGTTCTGGCCACTCCTGGCCACTCTGGACATAAAAGGAATAAACTAAGAAAAGCTGCTGGCGATACAGAAGCCTCAAGAAACCAACAGAAAATTTAGAGGAAATGTCTAAAGGTTAACTCGGTGTTCCACTGTGAACTTTTCTTCTCAATGGCAACCGTCCAGCACTGGGAGTATGCAATGCAACCAGCATAGAATGGGAACATTTCTGATATCTCTTTGTTTGTTAGTTAGCTGTTTGTTGGTTTATTTCTTTTTGTAAGCCACTGTAAGTTACCTTCCGCTGAGTCTTCATCCCTACTCATCTCCCGGATCTTCTGGTACAAGTCTCTGCCAGGACTCATGGGTGAAATCGACGGCTGAGGACTTGAGTGGTAAAATGATGGATAAAAATACTGCGTTAACGGTGAAATGTTTCTGTTAGGAAGGAGCTCCATCTGTTGACTGCCAGAAATAAGGGCGTTTCACAATAGTGCACCTCCGAGAGTTCGCAACGCGTTGGCCAATCACAACACGCGAAATTTGTCAACCCAATGTGAGTTTGGAGAGGGTCGACAAATTTTGCGAGTTGTAATTGGCCAATGCGTTGCAAACTCTTGGAGGCGCACTATGGTGAATAGCTCGTATTTAAAAGGGCCCATTTTGCTGTCATTGTGGGACACTCTCATGGCCCAAATTTACAGAGTTATTAAGTAGCTTGGCGAACTTATTTACCTTGCAAAATGGAAACGGGGAACAGTTTGAAACCAACAATATGTATATACTGTTTTTGCCATTTAATAGTTTCTGGCAAACAAAACTACAAAATAGACTTTAAAATTGTTCGTTGGCCAATTTTTTTCCGACAATAACCATAGCCTGTAAAATCTAGCTTTTTATTCTGTAACGAAAATTTGTGGCATGATGTGGCATGTGGTATTCTGGAATAACTAAACAAACTGTGGGTCCAACATGGCAGACAGCGAACAAGGAAGGCAGAGGCTTAGAATAGGAAGAAAAAAAGACACATCTTGCAACTCACCTGTGTTTTTCAGGCCACACGATGGCCACCTTTTTGGCCTTCCGAGCTGTAAAAAGTGACCGACAAAAATGTGTAAGAATTTCTTCATTGGGGCATTGAGTTGGTTAAGTCCATTTTATTCAAACATCAGTGCACAGCTTTTTCTGCAGTAAGAAAGGAGAAACAATTTCTACAAGAGAACATGGTGATGTCATTTCCAATGGGTACCTAATGATTTGGGTTTTTTTATGGCGCTGCTAAGCACTGAAAACTTGCTAAGCATAGATAATATAGGTTACCAGCCAAAAATTCACAACGATGCATATTCTCAACAACTGAATCCCGGCTTTATTTTGTATAAAATTTGCTAAGCAGCCCTTTATTCTGAGCAGAACCTTAAAACTGGGCCCAGGTGTCTTCTGCCCGAGTGAAAATGTAACCAGTTCGTGCACATTCAGTCGAAAATTAGGATGCACTATCCACACATTTGCTATGTGTCTTTCACTTGGTCTTATAAGTACATTACACAATGCTACAGGTAACGGTATCACGTTTACCTTATACTCAACCTATATCTAACTGGAATGTTTCGGTTCCACCGAGCCTAATCTCTCACCGATGAGTTTCTTGGGTGCCTTGAGGACGTATCCGTTGCTGTCGCACCAGCCCACGGGGAAGATGTCGTAGGACTCCGAGTCCACCACCAGATTGGGCAGCTTGCTGTTGTCAAAGTGGACCCACATGTGGCGGTTGACCACCTTGGTGATGGTAGCCACGCATATCTCTGAGGGACAGAATGGGTTGACCGCCTCCAGCTTCATGAAGGGGCGGAACTCGTGATCTCGGGAATACTGCCAACAAAATTTGAGTCATATTCTCAGACAAAGTTTTCCAACTTCCTTCTTTTCTTTCTGAACTTGAGCCTGATAATGATTACTGGCTCAACAGAAGGAAGAATGTGATTTCAAATGAAACTTCAAGTTACATACATTTATGAATGTACATGTTGTGTTGTGTAAACAAGCACAAGAAAGATACTGATTTTTAGATTCTTAAATTGACAATGGCCAACATGAATCTCAAACAGAGGCTTTGATGTTAGCAAAACTGGTCCCAAGAGATACACTGCAAAGCCAGAGCAAATAATCTTCAATGACAACAGAGCTCCGGCCAAAGGAGAGAACATATCCAAACAGTGCAGAGATTTACGTGTAAGCTGAAGTTTGATTATTCTCATGAGACTTACGATTCTAAACAGCTCTTTGGGAGCTGGTTTTGTGTCGCACTGTTTTAGGTATGAATTCCACTGAAAGTGGGGCTCCTCGTAACCTGAATGAAAACAAATACAGAAAAACTTCTCATAAAACTGGAACGGCTTTGCTTTGTTGGTAACAGTTCTTGAGATATGACCTGCCTGTCTTTGACAATTTCACACTTAAAATCAAGGTTGGAGAAATAAACGTTGATGAACCACGGTGCTACGATTTTCATGTTTTGATGTATTTTGTAATAAAAAGGAATCCACAAAGTCATTTAGAGATTTTCGTTGAGAGGGTGAGGTTAAGAAAAGGCACTGACATTTTTAGCCGGGAAGAATTACCAAGGAGAATGGTCCCATCATTTCGATAAATGTCCGACTCAGTCTGTAGATGGGAGACGGAACTCCGTCACCCTAGCAATATCTGATAAGCTGACATGAAGTATGCATTCACTTGTTTGTGCACTCAGGGTGCGATTATGAGTGACTGATTTTCATTTGGAAGCAAGAAAACTGCGGGGGTGCTGGGCGCGGCCATGACATTAAACTGGGCTGAGACACTCTTTCTACCACCTGTTGGAGGGATATATGCCCAAGGAACCCAGTTTACGTTGTTTAACTCCTGATCAAAAGGTCAGAGGTCAATCCAACAGGGGCATGTATGGTAACCCTGGACAGTGACTGTGCCCTGGGTTGCCTCTTTCCATACAGGTGGATAAAACGGTACCTGTCAGGACAGACAGGGTTACTGTGTTTGATTATCTGTTTGCCCCTGAGATGGCATCATGGAGCTGTATTCTCCCCCAAGAGTCGAGTTGGAACTTTTTTGGGGGGGGGGAGGAATATTGATGGCAGTGTTGTATTCAAGTCCATCAAAAGTTCCTCCGGGAGTCCAGTCACAAGTCCTTTCACAGACAAGTCATGATGAGCAAGGTGAACAACGGCAACGAAATGCGTCTATCAGAGTTCATTTGAATAGCCTGTGACATGGTTTCAGACTGAATGACAATGCCCTTTGACCTTCTGCACAGGAAGAGCAATAATACAGAGCCTTGAACATCAATACTTAGAGATAGTCGCATTCTACAAATATCTGTTATTATTAATGTGGTGACAGCAGTACCTTTTGGGGGTGTGAGCGCATAGCCGTGCTTCTCGCACCAGCTGACAGGGAAGATCCCGCCTGAGTCGGCATTGCACATGAAGGTGGTCTTGTTCCTTTCATCAGTCAGGTTGTCGATGCTCACCAGGAAGGACTTGTCGTTCAGCCACTCTGAGACAGTGGCTGGGCAGATCTGGGAGGGCACCTTGGGGTTGACGGCTTCTAGCTTCATCCCCTTCCTGAAGCGATGACAGCGGATCTTTGGCTGGTCCTGGAATTCACAATGACGGGCAAAGCTTCCACTGATCTTTCCGAAACTTAACAAACAACTTATAAAATCTGTATCTGACACATGACAAAACATCTGGACAAGTGCCACGGTCATTTTTTTTTCTCTGAATCAAGGAAAACTCGACGATCACGGCAGTATTAGTGTGGTTTGACACCCAATGTCAGATGCGCAGTAGGCCAAAAAAAAAAAAAAATTCCCCCTTGGGGAAAATGTGACTTGTTTTTGGCAAAGAACTGTATGCACATGGATCTAACACCGCACTCATAAACATACTAAAGCCAATAGAAACAATGATTTGAATGCATGGGTTTGTACGTGCACTTTGCCTCTGAGAACGACTGCAAAGGAAAATTGCTGTGCAAGTTCTAAGACGAAAACGGCCGCAAACTTAGCTTAAAACTGCCACATGTCAATCCAGCAACTAGGAAAGAAATTCTCTAATTTTGCAGCTGTCATTTCCAATGTTACCTTGAAGAACTCTTTAGGAAACGCAGCTTCTTTCAGGGCTGCTGAGAGGGCATACTGGTAGGTGGTGTTCCAGGCTGCCTCGGTATTGTTGGGTATTCTCTTTCTCAACACTGTAAACATTCAGTAAGATCATAAAAAAATTCCATGATAAATGTTTCTCCGTTATTTCTAGTAGTACAGTTCATACAAATGGTTTTAAGGTTTACATTAAAATCAAAGGCAGGTCAAGTCTGGCTAAGTCTGGTTTGGTCAGGTCTGGCTAGGTCTGGTCTGGCTAGGTTTGGCACGGTCTGGTCTGGTCAGGTTCGGTCTGGTCAGGTCTGGTCTGGTCTGGTCAAGTCTGATCTGGTGAGGTCTGGTCTGGTGAGGTCTGGTGAGGTCAGGTCTGGTCTGGTCTGGTCTGGTCAAGTCTGGTCAGGTCAGGTCAGGTCTAGTCTAGTCTGGTCTGGTCAGGCCTGGTCAGGTCTGGTCTGGTCAGGTCTGGCTTGGTCTGGTCTGGCTAGGTAAGATTTGGCTTGGTCTGGTCTGGTCAGGTTTGGCAACGTCTGGTCTGCCATTGACTATACTCTTTCGCTTGATCGTCTTACCTGCAGGGGGCTTCATGAAGACCAGCTTCTCTTTGGCCCAGCCAATGGGATGCACCCGCCAATGCAGGTAGAAGAGCCAGAAGTCGTCAGCATTGTCCTCAATGCCGGCGTAGCGCAACCTGAGCCGGCCGCCATAGGTCTCTTTGATGACAGCGATCCAGGCATGGCGGGGGTTCAACTCGTCCTGGACCTCCACACGCATGCCCTTCTTGATGCGGTCCACCGGGGTCGGGCTGGACACCTATTAAAACAGAACACCCCCCGAGACAAAAATTCCTGTAACTCCAGAACGAAAAGTTGCACTGTGCCACTAAGGCCATGGACACTGGTCTGACACCCTGATCTCTATACTTGATGAGACCCTTAAAATGTTTCCTTGAATATTCAGACTTTCTGGAAGTGTTCATCCAGGAATGTCAGTCTTATTATCTGTTCCTTTCATTTTAGGAACACACTCGGCCTTTATCTTAAAATACAAGAATTAAACCGTTTCCTTATTTCACTTATTTATTCTATTGGCAATATGATTTTTAAAGAATGGTAACAAACTTAAAAAATTACTACATTAAACTGTATACTTCCTATTCAAAGCTAAGATTTACAAAACATACATACTCAAAAGAGAGGCCAGTCCCATTCTTTAAAAATCCCTTTTCTTTAAAGGAAATGTAAATTGCCTTAAAAGTCTGATACACGTCAAACAGAACTTGCAGAATGACTCGGGATATTTGGTACCCTTTGCATATTCCTAATATTTCAGTTAGAAACTCACCTTTCTGATATAAAGTACATACTCAGGAATGCTCTTGGCCCCAGTCAGGTAAGTTACCAGAAATTCCTCCCAGTTTCTTGAGCCTTTATTGAGCAATTCTGAAAAAGGACAGACCACAAAAGGGATTAAAAAAGGTTACAAAATCAGGTTGTGGAAAACTTTAAAGCTGATACCCTTTGAAGTTGCTCGGCGGCCAATTCGAGTTGCCATGAAGATAACGCAAGTAAATCACTTGCCAATCGACAGCCAATCACTAGTCAATCACAGGTCAGTCACAAGCCAATCACAATTCACAGAGCCTTGCTCGAAGCTACAAGCTATTCAAACAAACTGTGTCAAAGGCAAGTCCTTTTTAAATACTAACACGTCCTGTTTCTTGTGAACTGACTTGGGACCCGACTAATAACGGATTGAGTCATAACTTTGCTGCCCGCCCCTAGATCAACATCAAATTTTTTTTTCGCACATGACAAAAAACGCTGTACAACCATGCTTTGACTTTTGCTCTAATATGTATCACAGAGTCTGTCACAAGTGCATATGCACTGCTAAGACTACAGAAACCCTACTAGTAGGGTCAAAAGTGGAATTGATAAGCACTTTCTTCGCAAGAACAAACTAGACAAAAATGTGGACAATTAAGAGCACTGTTAGTACAAGGGATCTTTTACCATACCGTCAGGTGGTCGGAGACTACGGCCGTTCCTTGCACACCAGCCGATGGGATGGAGCTCCCCTGTGGCCATGTCCACCCAGAAGTCCCTGGAGCGGTCATTGCTGTAGCCGCCGTAGCGCAGCAGGAGCAGGCTGCCGCAGGCCGTGACCACGCTGGCCACCCAGTAGGACTTGTAAGGCACGAAGGCGCTCGGCTTGTTCTGTACCTCCACTTTCATGCCCACCGACACGCCCGACTGTATGCTGGCCTCCACCTGAGCAAAAAAGAGCAGAGAAGGACAACACGTTTTGGGTGTGATGTTCAAGCATCAATGAAAAGCAATACAAACTGAACTGTAGACCATGGATTCTGGATACAAGGAAGACAGCGGAACTAAATGTTTCATACAAGTAATGGGCAACTGGATTGTCTGTTTTGTGTGGGACGAGAGAAGGTGCGTTTCCACACAGCAAGACACCCTTTGGAGAGAACTCACCACATGTGCGCACAGGTTTACATGCACTTGGTGTAGGGTACCAGTTTGTGCCGGAGTGTCTGGTCTTTGCTCTGACGCTAGACATGTGCCCACAAGAAAGTGTGCTGGGTGCATTGTGAGCCTGATTGGACAACTTCCCACAACCCTGTCTCTTCCTGGCCTATGAGGGGTGTGTTTCTAGGTCAAGCGGGTAGTACCTTTACATGCCTTGCTGTTATGTGTTCCAGTTTTTGGGGGGCTAGAGAAAACTGCCCTTTTACGGGGAGCCAGGTTGGCGTAGGGGTTCTTCCCTCACTCTTCACCTCTGCGGCCCGGGTTCGAATCCCGGCTCGGTCCACATGTGGATTGAGTTTTCAGTCCCTACCTGATTCTGTGGGTTTAAGCCAGAATATTCCAATGGGGGTTCCCTCCCACCTCTAAAACTACAACTGCTTCTCACTGTCTCCTCTCTACAGGTTTCCTCAGGCTTGTAAGCTACAGTGCCTGGGCGCTTTTGAGGAATTCTTGGTGCCATTAGCAGAAACGATTAATAATAATAATAAATCTCCAACAGACTTTACTGAAATTTGGGATTCAGTGTACACATCTGTAAAGTCTGAGTTTATCAACTTGAAACATTTTAGTAAGGTATCCTCGTTTATGTGTTACATTGTGGTCCATAAACGAGGAACAAAGTGTGCTTACATGTTTAAAGGCAGTGTGTGGGGCAGGTTTGGATCCGGTTATTTCCAGGTAATCTTCCCATGTGAACTCAATGTTGTCTTCGTCCTGTGTAGCTGGGAATCAGAGAAAAAGGAACGAAGATGTCACTAGTAGGCATAATAAATAGAAAAAAAAAATGGCCTCAATGTTAATCCTTCACATATTATTAAAGTTTTGTAATTTAATTTAAAAAAACCCCCAAAGCCAGACCAATCACGACCTCAGCGTGGACAAAAAGTTGGAGATCATGCCGTACTCAACACTTAAAAAAACAAGAAAGTGGATGTAAAAGCCCACACTTGGAAGTGTCAATGAGCAGTCAACCTGGAATTCATCAACACCGAGAAATCCCATACACTGCGTGCTGAAAGGTGTTTTCAATTCGTAGTCTACATAACATTACAACCCCCCCCCCCCGGAAATCAGCTCATCTGTGACTGAGTCGCTCGTCTGAGAGGTCTTTTACTATATTGTACGACCCAACACTCACCTTCCTTACTGGCGTCCTCCTTCTTCGTCTCTTCCTTCTCCTCTTCACCTTCTTCTATCTCGGAGTGTCTTCGCTTTCGTTGAGGGACTGCTGCTTGAGGGTAAGGCATTTTGTACCTGGGAGAGAGACAATACAGATTACCTCAACAGTTTGATCATGGGCCCATATCTCTACTGTGGTACTTACACGCACTAATAATTTTAAGTGTTTGAGAGATTACATTTTTTATTCAAAACTTTGACAAAGTATGAGTTTGGTGGTCAGACAGGACGTGCTCAAAATGAAACGTTTTGTACAGGTCATTTGACAATGTCAGTGTTTTTGAGCAAAGTCGGTCCTATCAGGGTGGCTTTGTGCCAACTCACACGAACCAACTGGCACAACGTCAGGTGCCTGGTTCTCAGTGAACTTGCCTTTTTGAAATTCTCAACGGGCTCATTAGGATTGGACTCATGATAGTGGAGCAAGAAGTAGTTTTACAAACAAATCTGACAGTCATGGTTATGTTATGACTGGTGGTTCCGATGGCCCCCTACGATGGAGGGAGAGACTGCGATAACTACTGTGCGTAGCAAGTGTTCCAAGCAAATCCCAATGCAATTTCTGCCATTGATGGGGGCCGTCGGGAATATCCATTAACAGCGTCACTGGATTCGGCATCCATTTATTGAAATGCTCCACTCTTGGTAACGGGAATGTGGCGATCCTTACTTGAGAGCCTCATCGATGCTTGACATGGGGTCTCTGGATGCGGGCTTGTCGGCTTCCGCCGTGATCGGGGTGAGTATTGGATGGGGCAAGCTGAGTTTGGGCGAGGCAATCTTGGGAGCGATTGGCACCGGCACAGACACTGCTGCCTGCAATTTGACGACAGCAAGAATATTCCAAAAGGAATTTTAAAAATAAGGTCTAGAAAGAATCTGATAGGCTACACTCCCTCAAACAAGGCAATATTTGGTATGCAATCTACTGACTACATCTTCTCTTCATATTCGCATAATTTAAATTCGGGCATGCAACTTGGACTCTAACAAAAAATGAGGAAATTTCAATCTTTAAAAGACTTTGAACAGTGTTTTTCAAATTTAAATGGCATGCGTGTGAAACGAAAAACAAGGAAATCAGCAAGTTACATGCCTGTAAATTTGATCTGGAAATTTTTTTGTTTTCAACTTCTTCTGAAAACTGACATGAAAGAGCAGCAATTGTAAAATATTTGAACAATGTTATCAATGTTTCATGAATGACTGGAGCGCAATATTTTCACTTAGGTAATGTTAATCGCTGATAAATCAGAAAATGTCCAACAATGCATCAAGAGGAATGACATTTCTTGTTCACTGCAAATTTGATTAAAAAAGTTGTCGTTCCTTAATCAAACCAGAAGTCAACACTCATCTATAAATTTTTTATTAAATTTGGGACAGAAGATCCCCGACATTATTAATTTACCTGATGTTTTCAAATACAAAGAAGCGTGTCCATGCTTTAACGATACAGTGCTGTATTTTGAAGGTTTCAGAGAAGCTTTCCGGGGAATTATCACTGTCAAGTATTTCTGAAATTGAAACCAATGATTCCTCAAAGGTGCCCTAGAGCCTGGTATCACGTAGGGGCCGAAAACCCAACCCATATGTGGATCCAGCAAAGGAAACAAATCCAGCCTGCAGAGGATAGGACGAAAGGGAAGGAAGAACTGCGCCAGCCTGGCTCCCCTGACTTGCTGTTAAAGGAGTTAGTAAGAGCTTAAAATATTCACTCTAGGACTTCCAAGATGACCTACGTACCTGTGAGACTTGAGGGCTGGAGGGCATGGGCAGAATGGCCTGCTGCTGCTGCTGTGGCGGCACGACCTGCAGGAATTGCTGGTTGGGCAGTCCCGTCACCTGAAGCAGCTGGGGCCGGTAGGCCACCGAGCCCTCGGCCTGCGACTGGGGGATCGGGGCCTGGACCGTGGCCCGGACGATGGGCTGGCTGAGGGTGTTGACGGTGGCCAGGGACTGCTGAGGTTGGGACAGGTTCACCTGCAGGGGGGTGGAATGAGTGAAAGGTTTCGTTGTATGCCGGGTGTATTAAAGAATGTTCACCTGGAAATCACGGGTTGGTTCGATAAGTTACGAGTGTGAACACAGTTGGTCAGGTCTGCTTCCATTCAATACATATGCTCAATTCACATTAATCCGAGCAATAGTTCATTCAAAACAAAGGAAAAACCTCTTCCCACATTTGACTGATTTAGTGGAAAAATGAGTAATTAAAAAAATGAAGACTAGGCTCTGGAAAGGGAGGTACATGTATTTGAGGGTGAGGCTGCAGGAAATTTAGTAACTCAAATGGTACCAGTATTTTTGGGTAAACAATGTTTATTTCACTATTCCATGTCAAAATGTAACCAATGGGGACCAGTCTGCCAGTCGGTTGGGCTACAGCATAACAGAGCAAACAAATGTTTCCAGTCATGGAAAGTGCAGCAGGCAACTCAATAGCTTGGTTTACCTTTTAAAAATTGATAAATTATCCTTTGGTTTTAATGAAATTGAATTTACGTTTAATTTAACTGCAACCAAATATGACCAAAAAATTCTTGTTCGTGTCTGACTTCTCACCTGAATCAACCCAATGGTTGCCTTTTCACCACATGTTTGTATGAGGTGAGGTTGCACGGTGGAAGTTGACGTGGAACCCTGGTCCACTGTGGTTGGAACTTGACTTGCGGGACTGCTTCCTGCTTTCAGCTGTGCTTGGGAGTATTTGGGCAGAGCCTGCAGCATGATGTTTGTCTGGACACTGGCCTGAGTGGAGCTGCCCCCTTGCACTGGTGTCTGGATCAGCTTGGCCTGGACAGTCGACAGTGGTGTGCTGACTGTCTGGAGGCTGAAGGTTCCCTGCAGACTGGACGGCACCTGGATGCCCGATGCTAGGATGAATTGACCGGTGCCAGTCAGCATCTGTTTTGGTATGATGGTCAACGGCGCCTGATGAGGAGCCACGATGTTACTTCCTGGTGCAATTGTGCCGGCTGCCGAATCTGTGTTGGTCGAAGGGGTTGTAGTGGCCGTGCGATGATGGACGGTGGAGATGGCCCCAACCTGGCCGAGTGTGATCTTGGATTTCGGAGTCAGTGCCTGGATCTGTTGCTGCTGCAGTTGCTGGGCTTGGGTGGTTATGGCTAGTGGGATCCTGGGGGTGAACTGAATCTGGCCCACAGTTGAAGTTGACGCTGAAGTTGCTACTGCTTGCATCTGTGTTGGTGCAACAGACACAGAGGGGGATATCTGAACGGGACTGGTCGCTGTTTGCTTGAGGGCGATAGGCCTTTGACTGATCGGATTCGGTGCAATGAGATGTTGCTGTTGTTGTGCTGCCAGCGCTTTTTGTAATCGCTGCTGCCGTGCCAACTGAGCAACTGTCGGGGAGACGGTCCTGGCACCACCTCCAGTGGCACATGTGGCAGCGGTAGCAGCCGTCGTAGGTCCGACAGATGTTGGCGACAACAGGTTCCCCTGGGTGTTGGGAACTATTGTGAATCTCTGCCCTCCGGTGAACATGACGGGTTTGCCTGGCCCCGTCTGGTGTGCAGTGCCTGTTGGGGCGGCTTGGACGATGATCTTGGGTGACATGGCCGTCTGCACCAGCACCGGCTGGCTCTTGGTACTGGAGGTTGGGCTGCCTGTGCTGGACTTTCCCATGGTGGCCACCACTTGGTTTCCAGATGTGATGGTAATGCTGTTGGCACTGCTTCCCTGCAACTGCTTTGTGTTCACCAAAATGGCTGAGATGTGACCCGGTTGTGAGTTTGGCGGCAACAGCCCAGGCAATTTGACTGGCTGAGCGACGGCACCCGTCTGTGCCCGTTTCTCAATCTGCTGCATCTGTTTCATGTGTATTGCTGCTACAGACCTTCGGTACACTCGCTGGGGGACCTGCATAGGCTGCTTGGCGGGGGGCTTGAGGAATGCCCCCACCTTGTTGGGACGCTTGGCGGAATCTTGTTTCCGGCCCTCCAGTTTCACCTGTGGGCCCGCCAGCTGGGACACAGTTGCACCCACACTGGCCGGCCTCGTCTGCTGCTGCTGCTGCTGCTGAGCGGGCTGCACGGTCAGGGTGATGTTGCTCCCCAGGGACAGGTTGGCATTCTGGCTCAGCTGGGCCTGCTGTAGATTGAGCACTACCTGCTGTCCAGACGGCAAGCCCGACGCTGTCTGGACACCCTGCGTTGCTGCGGGGTTCTGTGATGCGCCCTCTTGCTGGGGGCTGGCACCAGCCTGGGCTTTATCCTGCTGAATGCTCACTTTGGGCACTATGAGAATAGTGGGTGGGAGTGTGGGTACCTGACTTTGGGATTTGGGCTGGTTGGCAGCCATGGTTCAGTCGGGCTAGATCACCTTTCAAGCGACTGCTGGTCAATCCATTTCAATCAAACCAAAATCCTACTGATGATGCTCTGGTAGTGACAGTCATCCGCACCTCAGCTTATGACTGACCCATCAGGATAAAAGCCCTGCGTTAGGAAACAGTTCAAAACATAACAATAAGATTCCGAGGGTAGCAACTTAAAATCCAACTTACTCTGGTCAGTTTTGCTGTGATAAAGAAATGATAAAGAAATTCTTTTTGCAATCCTCCAGGGGTGCTACTGCAGGGCCAATTAAAAAGTAATAAATTCAAAATTCACATCCCAACCCTATTTGGAAAACACCAGCCACATCCAAGTCAACTGGCTGTGGCTAGTAGTAACACACGCCCATATGGGACACGACTTAAACTGATAGCCACTCCCTTCCATAAGAACACACATTATTGTTGGCTGAAGCCGTAACTTTTGGAAGCAGCCTCAGTTTACACATACAGAACAAAACACAGTAGAGGGAGCCAGAAAGTTACCGTCACGCTAGCAGTGTTTGCCCGATAATTTCAACATTTTCTGCCAAGTCTCAACCCCTCCACAACCTGTTCTTCACGCGCATTGGCTTGGGCACTGCAACTGGATTGAACCGAGAGAGTGATTTCTATTTTGAAATGAAAACCAAAGTTCATTACAATGCCAAAACCGACGGGTAAATTTGTTCCGTCCATGCGTGACCGCAAAAGGGAAAAACAACTTTACAAGAACAGAAACTGTTCTACTGCTTCATTCAAACTGCAACCCGCGTGCCTAGTCACAAGCATGGAACATCTTTTGGTTGTTGGAACACTGGTTACAGCAATTTATGACTGTAAGGGAAGCAATGCAAACGCGACTGGCCCCCTGTACTGTGTTTTGTGTCATATGAATTAGCATTAATTCGACTGCCCCATGCAGAGTCGCGCGTGTGCTTTGTTCCAGATTGACCTTGCTTTTTTTTTTACATACTGCACAGCTCATTAGCATCATCTGGTAACAACAAGCGCTCAAAATCTGACAAAGAAATTTCAAATCGGAACAAAATGTCCACAAAAGTAGACGCACAATGAACTTGGACATCATATGAGATTTCGAGCACAGAATGTCACATTTCTCTAAGCACATAAAATGCACTGTTGTCTGCACTATCAATATTTTGGACAGGATAAATGGTTGGTTGTTTGCCTGCCCTGTGGTTTTGAATTCTTTGATGAACACATGTCCACTTCTGTTCAAACAAACAAGGTAAATTTAATGGCTGGAGCATGTTCAACATCTAAGCACACTTGTAACCTCTGCCCCCCCCAACCAATATTGGGCAATATGCCCAGTTAAGCTGCCACGTGCACGAGGGTGTCACCTTCAAGAATTGCTGGATGGTTTATAAATTGATGACAGCCTCAAGCTTCATAAAGCACCACACTTCACGTGTAGCACAGATTCAATGCGGCCAGATTAGTTATCATGCCTGCGTGTGGACTCATATTTTCATCAGATGGAGTGTCTGCACTTTGCAACTCCAGGGGGTTAACGGTAACAGGCATTGACCCTAACCCCCCTAGGGTGTATGCAAAATCGTATTGAAATTGGAGGATTTGGGACTGTTGGGGTTCATTCAGCAGACCATACAGCAGGGCAAAGTTTCCAAATTTTGCATCAACTTCACAACTGTTTGAAACTTTTGTCAGGACTCGCCACATTTTTATTTTTGCACATGCGGTTGGGCATCATCAAAGGAACCAATTCTCCGATCAGCACTCAACTACAAGTAAACAAGGCTTGTAAACGTGTGCATCAAGTCAAACATTGGGTAACAAGTACAACTAACACCCGGTGGCTAGCTGCGAAATAGATGGGTGTAAAGCTTAGTGAATTGTTAAACCTTTAACAGCCAAACTATCTGCCTCGAGCGGAAGCTCTTCATCTGTTACAAAGAGCTTGTGTTTCCTACTTCGTTTGAGAACCAGCAATGTGCACTTAGCACCCAAGGAGCCTCCATTGCTGAGGAAATAGCACCCTCTCTTGGTCCCGCTCAAGGCCCATGTGTCATCTCCAGATTGGCTAAAAACATGCTAGTCTTGTTTTAAAAAGTAACTTAATGCATAGCATCCAAAGGGTTTGGTACCAAGACATTATAACCTGATATTTGTCAAGCATGCATGCATGTACATGTTTGTACTGTACATCCACTGTTAATTTATCACATTTACGTCCACTGGAGGGCGCAATTTACAGGATAATGATTGAACCCAGGCTCTGTAATTCGTGAGCAAGAATTGAATTCAAAGCAAAAGAAATTACCCCCAATGGTGAAGCAAAATCTATTACAGAATCGAGCACAGCATAGAATTGGTTAAAATTAAATCAGGCAAAACCATACTATTCAGTGAGGGAATAAACAGTGAGAAAGAAAAAAAAAATACTGTCTTGGAACCAGGACTATCAAAGAGTCCATCTGGTATCCTGCTCCATGTTCATGTGCTCATGCATTACGCATATCTTTTTTATCCATAACTGAGTTGACTCGGTCACATTACTCAATCAAATTTCCATCAATTTTGAGTTGAAATACAGTGCACATTTAGAGACCTGTATATTTGTAATATACATGTAAATGTCTACAATTTCGATACTTTAATAGAAAACAATGCAGTATAGATGTACACATACATGTACATGTGCAGATAAGGCACCAGGTGCATGAAATGGATACTTGTTTTAACTCAACAGAGAATAGTCTGTAATTCACACTCAGTTCCACCACCAGACATGGCAAAAGAAGAAAAGGCCCAATCACGTCAAAGGCTTAAACTAGTCAATATCTGTGGACATACATGTACATGTATGTACAGTCTACTGTATTAAAGCAATATATTTTGGCATCTACGTGGCGCAGTGGCACACAAATGTGCACACCAAAACCTACTGGCCAATATTGGAGTGTTTTGTTTTTTAAATGTACACGTAGACAACTTCGGCAAGTCAGGTAAACTGTAAGTAAAATGTACCACACCCGTGCTACCATTTAAAGCAAGGTTTCTCTCAATAATTGAGAACTGGGTTTTCGCATGATTACATATACCATTTGATTCAGCTTCAGTGGTTCTATTCAAGAAACTCACGGATAAATGTGCCCCACTGAAAAGTGCCTTCAGACAGACCACAAAGCAGACTGTCTTCGGTTGTGAAACAGAAGAATTTTTTCCCCCTTTAAAAAGAGCTTGGTAAACATTCTGCAAGGTACAGTGTATGTGGTGACAGAGAAAAGTTCTCAATAATGCAGACTATGACAATTCATTAATTCTGCAGGAATCAGAAACGGGTCATTGCTATTTCAGAATATATTTCACCGACCCCTTGGCACAATCTTGCAGGAAAGGTCACAACTTGCATACATGCATGTGTCTCGTGAAAAAAAAAAACAACACAAAAACATTTCTTGTTTTTAAGGGATAAAAATCTCAATGTTTTATCTAGAATGTGCCACAAGTTTTTTCCATTTCTTAGGTTTGTAGGCTTTTGAAATTAAGGTCACTATCTCCTTTATACAGCAAACAAAAGCTTGGCTGATCATGCCCTACGGTCATTCATGTTATAAATGAATATTCATAAAAACTAAAGAAAGTTTAGCCATTCCTAATGGTCAAGACCCTGTCATGGGGCCAGTCGTGAACAGTTGATAAAGCATCCACTGGCTAATTTTAAACACTTTTCTGGAACCGCACGAAATGACTCCTGTGAAATCTGGTCCCTTTTCTGCACTTACATGTACATGCATGCTGGCGCAATACTTTCAATGAGTCTTCACTTTGATGGGGCTGAGTCAATTCAAATAATTCACTATTCGAATATTTGACCTTCAATTTGATCGAATACCCGAATATTCAGTCAAACTGACAGGTAGATTGTTGATGAACAAACCATATTCAAAATCAGTTGCAATAGAACTCACAATTGCACATAATGATTGATAATTGATATTATAGCTTCTCACATCTAGGAGTATCTCCAGCCACGATTTAGTAAGATTTAAGAGACAGACAAACAATACTTCTTGCCCTGTTGAAAATTTCTATTCCTTTTGAATTTTTTAATGAATAATTTACTTTTTGAATCGTTGTAAGATTTCTGTCACTTTTCATTTGAATCAGAGCCCAATTTCATGGCACTGCTTACTGCAAGCAAAAAATTGGCACTTACTGTAGCAGCAAATTTGGTGCTTACGGCAAATGTATTTCACGGGTTAGCGAGAAATTTTGACTTGTACGCATGCGTATATCCCGTAACTAAGGATTCTATGCTTAAAAGGTTAGCACAGAATTTTTCAGCTAACGCAGATAGCACAGAATTCCACGGTAAGCAGCGCCATAAATTGGGCCCCGCTTGAAACAAGCCCCCATAGTGCAATTTTGTTCATTTAAAACAAAAGAAAATTTTCCCTTCCTTTTCATAAATTTTGCATAAGAATATTCAAATTGGGAAGATAATAGTCGCAAATTTGATAATCAATCGAATATTTGGCTATTCGGATATTCCGCACAGCCCTATATTAAGAAAAGGCCCAAACTCACTCTACACTGGCTTGTGAGATATTGCACCATCTCACGCAGTACTCGCCACACAAGTGCCAATCTCCATATTAGGAGACTGTTTACAAAGAGGCACATATCATGACATGGCTAGAGGTGTGTCTCCAAAAATACAAAGTAAACATGTTGAATTAAGTTGGTGGAAATAATAATGTTGTTGACTTTCTGACTCAAAAGGTAATGTAGATCTATGAATGGGAATAACTATGTGCTTGACTGGTCTTAAATGAATGTTAAAGAGTACATGTACATGTAGGAACATGTAAGGAGAATGGAATGTTGAAAATGTCTCTTTAACAGTGTCCATCTCTTGATCTGGTCATAATTGCACATCTAAGACTGGCCGGGCAATTAATTATTCCCAATGAAAGACGACCAAACCTACAAATTTTCCAACTGTAATAAGGTTACTAAGAAAAATACATTTACACAGTAGGTTTTATCAGTATATTACTTTATACAAAGCATTCTGAATTCCTAGTTGTGATTCCTTGAGGGAACTCTCAAAAGATTTTGTTTGGACATATAAAAATTTCTACCCCAAATCTAGGAATTTAAAGGGCCCAACTAAAGAAATGCATGTACTGTAGTCCAAAATATATGGTGTGTAAAATGCATGTACACCTTTATGTCCCAGTTAACTCAATTTTTAATTCAGATTCTACTATTTTAAAGAGCATTTTGGAGCCTTTGTGCTACATGTATTATGCTGATTCAAATTTGCATATATTTATATATTCATGAGGAAAAATGTTATGCTATTCCAAAAAGAAGCCCATTAGCCCATGTTACGGTTAGAAACGTTTTCTTGCCCTTTTTACATGCTGATTCAGTGTGCAGCTAAGTGATAACTAGTGAAAACCCCAGCGAGACAAGTCGTGTTTCATTTGTTTCAAATGAAATGAACAAAACTTTAAAGAGTGCTACACACATGTAGTCAGGGTAGTTGCGTACATACACGTCAACTTCCATTGGACCCTTTTCAACATGTTTGAACTACCCGACACATTTGTCTCTTTATTTGTACTGCCACATTTTTCGAAAATTTTATCTTCCCAAAAATTTTACAGTAATTGTGCCGGAAAAATAGGGTAGTTTGGGAAACATGAAGTTAAAGGTCGAACTTAAATCAGTGACGTTTCATCTGTGAAAGTGAGAAAAAAAAAGTTGTAAAAACCAACAGCAAGTCAGCATCGCTCCCAAGAGTTATTGCTCATTTGCATAGAATATGCAAAATTGCAAGACAGATTTTAAAAAAACGAACTTGGCCGATGCACATTGCAAGTGCAGATGCCAGGCGTACACGTACATGTATTTCATGAACACATATTTTCATTCAACGCTTGTAGAGATCTTTTTCTTCCCAATTGCTCATATACACAAAACCCTTGATCATCCAGAAAACACAGGTGTGCTGCTGCGGCCTGCAGGTTCCTACAACACAAATAAGGACAGCAAGTGTGTTCACCCATTTCAAAACTAACCAAAAATATAGAGGTATACTGTTGAAGTTTTACTGACCAGGCCAAAGTTGTCTAGTTCTAGCCTCCGAAGTGTACAAGCCATCACGTTCTTTCAGGGATTTGTAAGACGGGTGGAAACCAATACCAGACTAGATTTGTCACTTTTTTCAGTTTGTCATGAACATTACTGAAAAACCTCTTTTTTTTTACTTTAAGCTACATCACTCGATATTAATTTCCCATATGTTATGACTCTGTACATTGTAAAATGGCATTAAAAAATGAAGAAACAGTGTTCCTCAGGAAAGGTTAATGGGACTATAGGGCTTTTGACAACAATTCAATTTGAATTATTTAATGTTAATTATCCATGGAGGTGTAAATCCCACTTCACGCAAACATCTGAAGAATATCCATTCTTTGCTGAAAACTTCATTTTTACTGCCAAATTTCACATGAAATTCTAGAAGAGTTGACTGTTTTGGTTGTGTTAAACATGCTGAAAAAGCCTCAAACTCCAAACACTTTTAATACAAACACAATCATCGAAACTTCATGCATGTAGGAATGCACCATTAAAACATGCAAAACTTTTGAGGATGAAAATAATTCTTGTACTTTGCTGCAGGCAAAAAATTCAACAAAAGCATGAACTGAAAAATGCAGCCAGGCACTGAAACCAATAGAAAAAGTCTCATTGGCTTTTACAGATTTCTTGGCTCTCACATTCCAGGCTTATTAGGCCTAGACTACTTGGGTATTTAGATTTATTGGGAAGAATTCTATTCGGCTGGAATTTTGTTCACGACCTCATCTTTTCAACCAAAATTTATCTCCATTTTGTTGTTTTTGGATGTTATTAACCACCTAAAAGAAACTGGTCAAAAGTCCCATGAGAGTGCTGATATCTTTCGCAAAATTTGCAGAAAATGAAAGTGAAGAAGCGACCTCTTTTCCTGAGAATATTTTGCGAACGAAACAACCGTACCTAGACTTAATTTCAACCCCAATGCATCGTACATTTTTAAGGTGCTCACCATGGCGGTTTCTGCATATCTAATGAGTATGCAAACATCCCCCATGTAACGTGCATGACGTAGCCTTCGTACGTACAATTAAGTGCAAGCTAGGAAAAAAACAACTTCCTTCCAAGCACACTGACAAACATTAGGCAACAAGAAATCTACAATTATGACACAAAGGACCAATCAACCACTACTGCTACATTGTATAAGTTTGGCACTTGTGAACAAAACATTTCTTACCCAACAGTAGCGATTTTTTAAGGTTCTTTTCGAAAAATTTCCACTCGCTTCTGCCGCGATCTCCCTTGTAGATCTTTGGCAAAATGGCACCTGGTAAAGTAAACTGCGCATGTGCAGACGCCTGCATTATATAGAAGGTAAGTTACCTTATATATTAAGATTAATATCTGTACTTTTTAGTCAACAGTGAAGACAAGAAATATATATCGAGCAAAAAGTGTACATGGCAAGCTTTAAAGTATTTTTACACAACTTCAAGGGAATTGCAACGTTTAAAAATACAGCTTTAGTTAGCGTGTAATAAAAAGACACTCCCTATAAATTACCACACGTCGACGAGTCCTGATCAACATATGGGAGGTGGAGTTCGTTTTGGTTAAACGCATAAAGCAGAGGGTGTTGCAATATCTGATTGCAATTTCCCAAAATACTGGAAGTAAATCAAACCAAATAGAACCAGCTCGGACAGTGATCAACTTTAATTTTAGGCTGTTCCAAACATGCGGTGGTCTATGACTGGTTTAAGGCTTTTTGGACACAAAAGCGTTTACTCCTCTGGTTACAAAATTGTACGGAACGTCAACACTTGTTACATGAATATTTATAAGGTAAGCAACGCTCACTGCTAGCTAGCCGTATGTTTGGCCAGGATTGCCAAAATGCAAAATAGGTGAGCGCACGTGGGTACGGTGTCAAGACATGAACTTTGACACATCGCAGGATCTCGCGCGAAGTCGCTGCAGCCACGTTGATACGGCCAAAAATAATCTGTGACATATCGACAGACGGAAACGTGCAGTGTATGGGCAGAGATCCATTTTCATTTCCTATTCGTACAAACTCGCAAATTACTTGTATTATTCAAACAAACGATAAGTTAGCGATGTTGCTAAATACTGAACTACGTTAAATATGTGGATCCTACTAGCATCCAGCATCCTTATCTGTCCTGTCGTGAACGCTGTAAACGTTGATCTGCTGCGGTGGCCCAATACTAGAACGGACCCCGGCGTGACTGTTGGGCATCATGTTAAGGAACGCGGGGTAAGCTTCAGCATGCCGCCGGACATGCCAGGTAACAACAGCCATGGTCAGACCAACATTACAGAATATACCGAGGAACATTGCAGTCAAGGTTCCCTCACGGATGGATTTGGGATGATCATCCAAGGCATTCTGGCTGTATTAGCTTTCAGCAGTTTGATATGTGAGTTGAATATTATTATTTTTATTATAGGCCAGGCCTAGGCCTACATCATTGTTGCAACTTGAAATATGGAGGAAGGAATTAACCTCCCTCCATCATGTCCATCACTGGAGATTGTTGGACATGTTGGATACTCCACACTCCGGGATAGCTTGTTGTCGCTCTCAATCTGATCGTATGCATAGTTATGATGGTTGATAATGATAGTGTAGAGTCTTTAGCATTAGCAATCATGGGAATGATTTTTCATTTCAAACAAAATTGGAAATTTCTTTCACTAAAACTTGGTGCTGTACTTTGTCAACATAAAGTGCTTCCGTCACCACTATGTTGCATTCTTTTCTACATTATATATAGGCCCAGGTCCCTATAATTGGGGGAGGGGGGTAGGGAGGGGTTGGTGAACTTGGTCAGTCTCCGCGCCAGGCAAGTCCATGCAAAAGTGGACATTGGTCATGCACTCATGCCACATGTATTACTATTACTGACATTACACATGTATTGTAAGCCAAAGGAAGTTTTCAAATAACGAAGGTGGAAATACGCTAAAAAGTGTTCAGATTAATTACCATCTATTACTTCCTCTTTTAATTGTTGAAAAGTTTGTTCTGTGTGACCATTGTCCACTTTTGCCTAGAATTGCCCTGCTATTAAGCAGTCCTTTTTTCATATCGCGGGATCTGGTTACGCCTTTAGAAAACCTCACACTTTGCCATCCATTTAAAAAAAAAAAAGGTTATTGCATGGAGCCTTTGGAGAAAGGATTCACAGATTGTGTCAAGATCGACAGCACTACGATGGGTTGATCGCAGAGATCAATGGATCCTGCTCAACGCATTTAACACTTTGTCGGTCAATGAAGTTTGCACACTCCTCGGCAACATCTTCATTGTGTGAATGAAGAACTTGAGGGTACTCAACTCGGGAGACTGCAGGGATTTCAATGGTGAAGCGGCTTCACCAGCCTACATGTACATGTATATGAGTCTCCTATCCCCCAGCAACCCTTTGCCACGCTCCCCTTCCTTCAAACTGGCACATCTTGCATCCCATGTTCTGCTTGAGTACCGTTGGGTTAGATCTTGAGTCAGTGTCCTAACCAAACCTCGCCTGCTTCAGACACCATATAAGCTGCTTTGCCCTTGGAATCCCTGGACGATCCTGACAACAGACAGAACACATAGTCCAAAATATTGAGTACTGTCTGCTTCTTTTCATAACCACGTACATGTACAAGTATGGTGCTACCGCCAACCTATCACTTAATTTGCCACCTTTACCGTGAAAAATCTCAATTTCATCAGTATGTGTATATGTTCATATGCACACAAATTTTGCGTCATCCTGGCCAGCTGGACTTTCTCCAGAATCCCCCTTCTATTTCTCTGATGCATCACCCGAGTCAAAGTCCAACCAAACACAGGCAAAAGTCATCATTCACTGAAAGTGGTGTAGAATGAAAAATTACTGCCCCAGTTATAAAATTTTTATTCAGTTCCAACTGAGTTGAAACTTCAGGCTTATGGAACACGGAAGTGGCCAAATTCATCTTAAGTGTCAGTACATGTTTCCCTGCACCAAGATGATTCAGGAAGGTGTTTTGCGAGTAGGAAGACCTAAAGTCAGTGTGAATGGGGCAATACCGGTATGTTCAGTGTTATGTTCTCTTGAACCTCACCCTTCCCAAATCCTCCAAAAATTCTTGCTTAAGTGGAGGATTTTGAAGAATTGAGGCTGTGTGGCAAACATTTGGCTGATTTTGAAGGATACAAGATCCCAAGATCTTTGAACAAACCTTGTGTTATTTATACTCGGCCATGTGTTATATAGTCTCCATTCTGCTCCTACATGTACATGTCATTCACAGTGCAGCAACATACTGACAGGAATTGCTGGAGGATTTTGTGAAGAACTAAGGTAGTGGTCACCCCATTCATGGAACACATGCAAGAAATAATGCAGGCTTTTTGAGGATTTGGGTTGTATCCAATTGTGTACATTGAGGCAAGTTACATGTAGATACATGTGCAAAGGACAGTTTGACCATTCCTATCGGTCGAAACTTGAAGGCGCGTCTTGGGGGCGGGATTAACATTCCAGTAAAACACTACTAAAAGCCATTGCGTTCTGTGCTTTACGTATGCAACTCTAGCACCAGTATTAATGAATTAAAGGCTGTGTTTATTGCAACACCACGGGATACTGGTCACTGATGATAACCCATGCCTTCCCCTCAGGCTATACCACTGACCAGCCCAAACCAGTTTTAGACCAAATGTTGAAGGAATTCTGAACTGTTTTTCATGTGTTTGCCAAGCACATGTTCAGGTACATGTGCGTTTCCTGTGGGAACTTTCTTTTCCTTTGACGCCAACAACCTTCTTATCTCAAGCCCAGTCAATAAAACCTACAAAGTGCGAGGGTCGGGTAATACTTTTAAATTCCCACTCTGTTTATAAGTGCATAGTCTGCATATCTCATGCTCAAAGTCCATTGTGAGAAGTCTTCTTGCACTACATAAATGTGCCTGTGTCTGTGTTAATTATTAAACAAATCTAGTCAGCTATCCACTGATTCAGTCAAAGGTTTTATTGGTGTATTCGTCTTTAGAACCAAACAATTTGTAAAAATTTTGATACATGTAGATTTTGATCTTTTGTGCATTGTTTTCAATGTTGTGTACTTGTACTTGTGGACAAAAAAATATGGTTTTCTCTTGATTCGTTGTGTCCGGGTGTTTTTTGAATGACTATTTCACAGAAGCTCTTATTGGATAGAAGCCCATAAATTCCCAAATTGCATGAAATCAATCATGCTTTTAAATACACATCTACGTCTCTGTCGGAGCGCTGGACATTGACACAAGTGGAAATGATGAGAGCATACTGGTGTGCCCGTATGTATGTTCTGTGCTGCAGCTAGTTTGCATGTACTGTACGGATAGTGCTAGGGTCTCAGAACAGGCAAGGAGACCGCCGTTAGCCTTTCAGAAGTATGGGAGACACAATAGGAGGGCGCTATTTAGTTTTGGTCAAATCTTTTGTGTTTGCTCCAAATGTACTCACTTCTTCACATTTACGCCCTGGCTTCGAAAAGGCTAATGCAATGGGAGACTTTGAGACGCATGGTGGCGGGCAGACAAACTGGTCCTTTTCCGCAGTTGTGCTTGTGCTCTGAACAAAGACGCACATCTGGAACTGTACGTGCATGCCCACATCAACCAAAAAGGACTGTTGGGTCTACTGTCTCAAAGTCTCCCGTTGGCTATTGTAGTGCTACTTCTATGCTTATTATCAGACACTTGGTTTATGAATCATTTTTTATTATTGAAAGATTGGTGCTTGTATTGTTTCCTTGCTGTGTGAAAGGCCAGGTATACCATTCGTACATTGAAAAAACTCAATCAGAAATGGACGGCATTTCAACTCTAATTAGAAAAAGTGTATCTTGAATACATTGTGAGAAGTAGTCCCAAACCTTAAGTTGTTGATATAATATTACATTAAAACACAATTTAGCTACAAATATGTCTAGGAAAGGGCTTCATAATAACATTGTCCAAAGACAACAAAATAGCAAAACTCAAAGCACAGGTACGTTTTAGTCATCTTGATGTTAACTGTTTTTATCTATACGTGTAAATTCAGTTTTATTATTAAACCCTAAGCACTTTTTGCAAATTATACGTGTAGATCGTGGTTGGCCCTGTGCATATAGGGAAACATTTCCATGCTTAGCTGAAACCTCAATCAAAATTTCTGAGCCTGCGTACATTTCTGCTTGCAAAACTATGGGCTGCTTTGGATACTGAATTGAAATACTCTGCTTCTTAGGTTGCAAAGCATATTAGTTCATTAATGACTTTTGCATTTTGTCTTCTGTTTTCCTCTAGTGAAACGACTTAGAGAACCCAAAGAGGACCGGAGATCATGGACGATCTGGTAAGATCATCACAATCCCTCTAGGTCTAAATCGGGTGTTTAGTGGCTATGGCTTCCAGTTTTTTGGCCATTGGCTTACTACAACGAAAAGTCGTGGCCACTGACAAGAGAACCCTTTTCTGTCTTTGCCTTACCTCTGCAGCTTCATTATAGGATGCTGTATTTGTCTTGCCATTTGAACTTGGCAAGATCAACAGCATAGTTTCCTAGTATTGCCCAGCTGAGCTTGCCAGAGCTTGATCGATGATTCAGGCTGCATGTAACCACTCCCACACAGAGCTAAGGCAAACATGCTGCCAGTTGTGCGATCATGATTCTGTGACTTTATAGTCAGTGGGTAGATCGCGTCTTGTCTTCCCTTCGCTTCCACTCTCACTTTTTGCTTGAAAGATCAAGAGTACCCTGTCCCTGTAATTTGTTCTCATTTTTTTCCACTCTCATTTGGATAACATCAGACATTGTTATCGTCGACGCCGTTCTCATTTTCTGAGCATGACATTTCTCAGCTGTTATCTATAGTCAGGGACAGGACAGTGGGCTTGTAATATGAGGAGAGATGGTGTGCTTTTACCGGTACATGGCACTGATGTCCCTCTGGTTGGAACTCAGTATGTGCATACATAAACTCATGTGTGCGTGATACGGGCTGCACTGAGCAGGCTCGGCTGGTTTCTGTTTGGATGTATGGCTTTTGCGTGAGCTGGTATTGAAGGGATGTTCCCAGTTGAAATTGGAGTGTTTCAACATTACTGCTTTAAAATGGTCCTTTTAATGGGCCCTGTGCGGGACGAAGAGAGGGTGCCATTTTCTTAGAAATGGAGGCTCCTTTAGAAGGAACTCTACTTAGCTGGTTCATGAATGACTATGAGATGCATGTTTTGCATATGTGTCACTGGCAACAAAAGGAACACTGCCCTCTAACGTGGCTCTTTTCAGCCAATGAGGGGGTGCTTCGACTCAAGATAATTAGTTTCTTTCATCACCATCAGTCTATGGAATACATTTACTGAATGCAATGAATTTGTTGTAGGTTTTACGACACTTCCAAGCAGGCGTTGGGTGCCGGGGTCATTCACATAGCCAATGTGCTCCTGTCGGCAGAACTGTCCCCTGAGGATCCCTGCAAATGGTAAGCCATTCAGTTTATATCAGACAAGTTCCTTTCTGGCAGTAATCCACAACAGGGGTTCCAGTGAGAAGTTCATTACGTGCCCCCATGACATCCAAAACACTACTGAATACTGGTGCCTTTCATTCCGGACAAAATCTCTCCACTGTATTATTCAAGAATGAGTAAAATTTGGCTACTGCTTTTGGCCCTTTGCCGGTGTAACTTATTAGGCAGTTTGAGCTTCGTGCCTTTAAGGAGCTTGTGGCAAAAAAACCAAGCTATCTTAGAGTGGATTTGAACCCGCAACCACCTGCCCACTACCTCGGGTATCTTCGCCGGTCAACCTTGGTCACATTGCTGAGTTGCATAACACCAGTGGGTACCGGAATCAGTAATTGTGTCTTAATTTTGGATGGGGAAATGCACGATTGAATACTTGTATATGTCCTTTCTTGCCTCAGCGCCAGCTTCAGGCAGTCGGGGGCCATAGTAAGGGAGGAGCACATCACAAATTCACAAGTTCTGCTGATGGAGGGTTCCCGCTGCTTGCTGGGGGGGGGAGTGGCACTGCCAGGACCCCCCTTAAGTAGTGACAGGCCTGGCCTTTGTCCAATTTAATATTTTAAATGCTCAACCTTACATTGGTATTTTATGGTTGTTTCAGGTATATTGTGTACTTCCTGCTAGACTCCACCTTCGGCCTTTTCGTCATCTACATCAGTGTGAAGATATCACAGTGCATAACTAAACTCTGTAACTGCAAGACGCTGTACTTTGGCGAGTACGGCGACCCGCCAGCGTGTGAAGCGTGGGTCGGTCAGTGCGGACTTTTTGTCCTCATAGTGGTTTTAGAGAAGGTAGCCATCACTTTCTTCGCAAGGCTGACCTTCTGGTCTGAGGTGAGCCACAGCAAATCTACATGTAGAATGAAAATGCATGTGTGCACAGTCATTGGTACGTTTCGTCTCGTTTATAGCAACACCCATTCTTTGCAGGAGGAGTAGTTTACATGTAAACTCTTCAACTTTTGATTCTTATTTAATGAAGGTACATGTACCAAAATTGACTCGTGTAATACCTAAATGTTTTACAACATTGATTTTTCAATCGGTTTTTGTATCACCAGGCCATTAGAAGTAGGACACATTTTAAATCATGAGACATTTTCTTATTTTTGCTTTCTTTGTATGCTGCCTTGTCAGAGTGACTTGTGATTTGCTTGGTATGACTTCACATTTCTGTCAATCTGTTGAACCAAGGCCGTTTTCCAATACTCGACGTGGGCTCCGTTTCAGGCTTCAACTGTTTTTTACTTCCTGATTTTAAGGTTGTAAGCGCAGTAGTAAGTCTGATAGTGCCACAAAACATCAAGTAAGATGCGAAAGAGCCAAACATTACAATACTTCAATTTAAGTTAAACGCTTAGGCCCACAATTGGGCATTGGTTTCCTACACGAAGTCTGAGACGGAGACGAAGTCAAGTATTGGAAAACGGCCCTAAAGACCTTTCCACCTTCGGTACACTGGAACCGATAGCCAGTGAGAGTACAGAGGCTTTGCGTGGTAGCCATCTTGCAGGGCAGTTCTTTTGTTTCACAGGGAAACCTCCTTTGTGCATGCCCTGGGGAACAGCACTGACCTGCAAGATGGCAGCCATGCAAATGCTCTATTGCACTGCTGAAGCTGCGTGATGTGAAAGCTGAACTTCAGACTGGATATTGTGCAACTCTAACAGTTGATTTCATTTGTTTGACTGCAGGTTGCCAAAACGCTTCTATCACCTATACACAACCCCAAGGTGGAAGTAGTTATTGTTATGCTGTTGGTTCCGTTTATTCTTAATGTAAGTGCGTCCTCCTTCATTTGTACTTTTGATGAATTTCTGTTGAGAGGCTCATAGAAGTTTAACCCTTAACTCCCTCGGCCTTTTTAGTAGGAACCATCCTGAATCCTCCGAAATCCTCCAATTTTCAACATGAAAAATTGCATCCAGCCCAAATCCTCAAAATTTCTTGAAAGTGTCATTTGGAGGTGTGCCTGACTGCCCAAATCCTTCAAAATCCTCTGGCAATTCCTCTCATTATGTTGAGGCAGTGCAAATGGCTCTCTTGAGCTGTGCAGTGGATTCAAAAGAAATAACATAAGGTCAAATCCATGACCTTCACATATGGCATCCCTCAAAATCAGCCATGCACTTTTGCCATAGGCCTACACCCTGAATCCTCCAAATTCCTCCACTTTGCAGGAGAGGATTTTGGAGGACTTGGGAGGGTTAGGGTTAATAACACACTTTCGCCCTGACACTTCTGAATCTTCCAAAATGTGCCGGGACAAGTTGGGTCTTGCAGGAAGGTGCACATGCACAGCTGAACCACTGTTGCTTTACTTTGTGCCCCTGGAAAGTTTAAGTCCATGGCTTGTGCTGCTGGTTTCCAGTACAGTGGTTGGATTTTGAGGAATCAAAGAGGATCGATCCCTCCAAAATAGCATGGAGTGTCATTTGTTATTTGAGGATTTTTCATCATTGTCACTGCCTTGTTCATGCCTAGGACGATGTCCCAGCACAGCATGCCTTAGGCTTTTTAAATGTTTGACAGTATGTCTAGCCTGGTCAAACAGCCCAAAGTATGTCTTCTCGTAAACGAGAAGAACGTGAACAGTTGATGAAATGCAAGATGAGTTTTCAGTGTTTAACAACAGGCTGTAAGCCATTAAAAACAGTGTATCACCATGTTGTAATGCATCACTTCGGTCATGTAAATTATGCAATGAATTATGCAGCACATAATGAACATTGAGCACTATGCATCATGTATCACCATGTGGTAATCATTACTTTGGTCATTTAAATGATCAATGAATTGTGCAGTACATAATGAATGCATTCTGGCAATGCACACAAATTGTCCAATGATTGAGAACAGTCACCTGTGCTTGCAATTTGCAGGGCTGAGATTTCTCAGCTTTTCGGCTGATCTCAGCTTTTTTTGTTTCGGATTTCAGCTTTTTTCCCTCTCTGACTGTGTACAAAAGTATAGGAGATCTTCACAGTTCAGCTTGTTGATGCCTTTTTTTCAGCTATATCTATCATTGGTCAATCTCACCCCTGAAAATTACAACTTTCATCTTCCTCTATATTCCTATTTATATGTATCTGGTGACTGGTTATTCATAATTGTGTGTTCTTGTATAATTGAACCTCCTGGGTTGATTTGTCTCCTATTAAATCCGCTCCGCCTTCTATTCCAGGCAATTATGTTCTGGGTCGTGGATAATTTTCTCATGCGGAAGCGGAGGAAGGTGAAGGCAGACGTTGACAACGGCAAAGTGCGTTACTTCAAGTTGAAGCCCAAAGTAAAGAATGACAGCCTTGGGCCCGAGTTAGAGGTGCTTCTTTCACAGGAAGAAGAGAACGAAACTGTTGTATTGACGCCAAGAGGAACTGACGAGACTTGCAATGGTAGAAATACCACGCGGTTGTAGTATTGAATTAAAAGGGTTGAAAAACGTTAAATTTTAATCAAACTGTCACGCATTACTATGAGTCAATTTTGACTACATCTGTCTTGAAATCATATTTTGGACAAAAAGCTGTATTATGTTTCATGTTTGTTAGTCAAACATAAAGGGACATTCTGTTTATCTTCAGTGGTGTCCGGCTTTGATGATACCAAACCAACTCGGTAAAAATGGTGATCAAAAAGCACTTTACAACAATGCTGCACAAAAGCAGAGCCGTCGCCAAGACCATCCCCGGACTAGACCCAAGGCCAGTCATAAGAAACCGGATGAACCACGGCAAAAGAATGCTTTTGTTGCGGTTCATGTGAAGCGCTTGCGACTTGGATTCAGACCGGAGGTCTTGTTGGATCTCATTATGGTCTGAAGGCAAAAAAAAAAGGGTCTTCACTACAACACCAAAAAGATGCGTGACTGTTTATTCATGTCTTCTTGCACTTGACAGTTTACCTCTAGTGTTTCCTCTGCGTGGGGGGGGGAGTGAATCCGACAAGCTATTCAGACCACAGCTTGTCTGTTGCTTTGATCTGCATTGACTTTTATGGTGTCATGAGCACTAATAAGATGCAGATATTTGTATATTTGCTTAATATTTTAATACTGTAAGTACCAAAGGAATGTTTATATTTTGTACAGAGACCAGATAATATTTACTTCTGGAAGAAGCACTTGACACAGGAAACACCTCAGCTAAAAAAGCTTGCAAATAGAATTAATTTAACCTGTGAAAAGAATTGAACCACGCAGTGATTCAGAATGAACAATATTTCTGACAACACACCAAAGATCGTATAGCGCCAAAGGCGCAAGATGGATAAGTCTGCCCAAAAGGTGTAATTACCATGGGCGCCATTTGAGCAAGGGATACGCCTGCGCAGTTTATGGTAATGCCGCTGCACCTGTGCCTTAATGTGCATTGCGCAGGCATATCGTTTGCTCAAATGGCGCCCATGCGATTACGTTTTACGTGTATTTATGGTGAAGTTCGCCATCTTGCACCGCTTTGTGGCGCTATGAGATCTTTGCAACACACTGCCAATAATCTGCATGTATGGATGGAAAAAAAATGGTATACACAATTTCATCCAGGGTTTTTATTGGAACATTTGCATAATATGAACAACCCGCCAATATACATGGAATGGTGCATATGTGACATAGAATTAAGTAGTCTTAAAAGTGTATGTGTGTATATATAACCCTAACAGTCCTCAGTCCTCCAACAGGTGAAGGATTGAGGAGGGTTAGGGTTAATAATGCATGACATGTTGTAGAGTTTTGCAACTTTTGTAATCTGCCATTAGTCGTAGGGTTGCTATTTATGTGTATAAGATCGCTAGTTTTAACATTCACTGCATAATTTATGTATCAGGTGAAATAGTTTGATAATTACACAGAGGAAAAACAGCATTAATTTCAGGGCCGAGTCCAGTGACTCCATGCAATTCTTAAACACGTTTTGTTTTTAATTACTGAAGGTGCTGGAGGAAATGAATGACCAAATGGGCTCGAGGAAACTGAGAAGCGAGCTTATTTGTAGAACTGAAGAAACTTGGTATTTGAACACCATCAGCGAGATGAATGCAGATGGTATTGAATGAACTCAGCAGTACTCTGTTTGTAAATGAACTATTGGCAGGACTTTTTTCTGTCTCGGTTTTAGTATATTGGTTTGGACTGTCGGTGAGTCGGACGTGCAATATAATTTTTCAACAGTTTGTTTTTTCCCCAAGCAAAGTGGGATTTTGAGTTTGGCTGGGAAACATCTGCAGGTTAATGCTTTTCTGTGTGCATGGGGGTAAGATGATTTTCCTCTAATGTAATTTAAACACGGCTGTCAATATTGTTCACCCTGTCCTCGAGGGTGTAAAAAAACAATCAATTTGGAGAATGGAGGACTGTTGGTGTTAACTGAGAGAGATTTATTCTTTCACCTTTTTCACAATGTGCCTTCTTTTATGTAAACAAAGGCACTCTACACAGACCGAAACTGTGATTTTTTATAATAGGCTTATCTGAGAAAAAGAGTAACATTTGGCTAGAAACCTGTAGGTTCAACATGACAGACAGATTATCTTATAGTAAACCAGAAGAGAAATGTTTTGCTTGAATGTGAGCTTCCAAGAAGATACGCGATACAAGTCCCGGATCTACAGTTTCAATCTGGAATATGAATCATCAATCAAAATGTGCGAAGTGGTTGAAGCAAACAGGTGGTTACATCATTATCCGATACCATCAATGTACGTTATGGAGGGATATACGTTGTGCAGTAACACCATTTGGAACTTTCAAAATGAAAATGTGCTTTGTAATCAAATCTTTTACTTATTCGTCAGAGCCCACTCTCTTCTCTGATTTTTCACTTCATTCAAGACATTTGAAGTCGACTCCAGCCTTGCATGTTCTGTCCAGAAACCCTTTTAAATGTCGCGCTGTTGTGAAAAAGAATACATAAATTTCAGGGGTGAGCTTTGTCTGGATTTTTTCTGATTTTCAGGATTTTTTTTCCTCAGGATTTTCCTAAATTTTAGGATTTTTCAAACAATGTCTTTTAAAATCTGGAAAATCTTGGTGTACCGTTACGGTGTTTTTACATATAAAATTGATTACAGATTTTGCGTTGACCCAAATAACATCTCCCCGATGCAAGAACATCTTGAAATATAAAAGTTGACATAGACCACAAGAAATGGGTATTTTAAAGGAAGCCTTTTAATAGGCAAACACCAACCTATCCCATACAAAGACCCTCTACTGCTGTGGGACTCTCAAACCCTCTGGTAATTAGTTTGTGGATATTTCATTTTCCACCAATCTCACCCCTGAAATTTTGTGGTGATATACATGACGCTGCCTGATTCAGTCAGTAATCATATGAACTGATTCAGGAGTTAAATCCTAAATTTTTCACGGATCATTTCTCAGTGGGGTGTTATTTAGAGGCGTTATGTAATAGAAGTAATGTAAAAATGACTTTGTTGTAATACTTTTATACTGGATGGATGTTGAATTGTGAAGAAATCCTGGCGTTCAGGTATCACCAAATTAAATTTATGGTTTTAACGAAAGAACGAAGGTGCCATGTTCTGCTGACAAGATTTTCTTACTGTGTAGAGGTATGCAAGTTTTTAGGCAGAAGAAATCATCCGAGAGGATTCGAGACCAAAGTGTTATTTCCCCTTCTTAAATAACTTTCTTGAGCTCAGATTTGCCATTTTCTAAAACCCCCCACTGTAAAAATAAAGGGGTCTTAAAACTGTTCCCCACCAAAACGTTTATTTTTAAATAACTTTCTTGAGCTCAGATTTGCCATTTTCTAAAACCCCCCACTGTAAAAATAAAGGGGTCTTAAAACTGTTCCCCACCAAAACATTTATTTTTACCCAAATTTTTTGTAGCCAACCTAAGCTCTATTTTTCATGTCATCTCTATAGCCGCTTAAATATCACAAGCATTTAATAATAACCCTAAAACAATGAAACAGATCGTCCTTTCTTGTGAACCACTTCAAACCACAAAACCCAATAATCAGTCTGGATAGGAACCAACTCTTTAATTCCCCAAAGCCATTTGCAAAGAGTCTTGAATCCTCTCAAATCTCAGACCATGTAGAAACCCAACACACAGCACTCTTTGCACTTCAGTCTTGGGGGGAACATTGAAGCCCTATTTACAGAAATTACTGTCTGGTTCTCCCTTTGTCAGTCCTGCAAAACCTTGGAATTGTGAACCAGGGAGATTTAATAATTTTACATAATTTATTTCTTTTTAAAAATGTAGGTTTTAACTGGAAATGCACACTTGGGGGATTATGTTGGGATCCATGAATCACTTTTAATTTTTTTTTAAAATATGGCTTAAAAATTACGATATGTTGTCACAAATTTCACATCATTCTAAACGTTATGAACTTTTATTCCGTTGCCATTACATTTTCTCTCCAGTTCCCAACATGAAAAGATAGTTACCTCACTTTCAAGATGGCTGACACATGAAAACAGTCAGCTGATTTCAATAAATGGCAAATAATCATTATGCCCAGTTCTCTCTTAACAAGATGGAAAATACTTAGATTAAGAACAGGTCATCTCCCCCAACTCTCTGCTAACAAATTCACTGTTCAGTTCTGAATCATGACCGTTCTACCAGTGTCAAACCTACTGGAGAACCATTTTCTCGGCCTAAGCACTAATACATGTACATACACTACACCAACACTGTTGAGTCCGGTATGGTACCCTGGGCCACCATCCCCTTTATCACCTCTTCTCGGGTGGAATGAGGCCTGCCGCCACCACACGATTCTCGCTCACTAGGTAGTTAAACGTGGAGCAGGCATGGGGCTGAAATAGACCAGCGAGACAGGTTTGTTATAACGTTCAAAGACAAGAACAGTTTTGAAAATGCACCAGCACAAGTTTTGAAAGAAAATCATCCTTACCAAGAGTAGAGTCATGGTCTTTTCTTAAACTGAGAGAGAACAGCCTGTGTCCAGATATACATTTACACATTACAATCAAATCGTGTTTTGTATTCCACTCCATGTGACAATTCCCTCAAAGTAATTTTTGTAAGGAGAATTTACCCATGTCCAAAACTGGAATTGGTGGCTATGGCCATAGCCACTCACTCTACCGATTCTACAGCAAAAATAAAAGCCATAGCCATTAGCATTCATTTCTGCCAAAGCGCTGCGTATATCAGGAATCTACTAGTGCTTACAGTGTCTTGCACTTCGAGAGCGATGCCTTTCTGTCTTAGGAACTTGTGCAGTCCAGGGTCTAATTTGTGATTGATTGCACCAACCCCTAGTACCAGAATTTCTGTAAAGAAACAAGAGAAATGTACAAATAAACCCAATGGAGCCACAAACACTCAGAATGAAATCAAATGACTCAGAACAAAAAAAGAATGATTCAACATTATGAGCTTGATTTTCTGGTACAATTTTATAAAAAGCCTCAAAAGAATCCTGTTGCCGAGTGAGGGAGACCCCAAAATCGACAGGAAGACCGTCACAGATTACAGCACACTGAGTTGTTAGTGAGAAAACCTTACCAGAAAACTTAGCAGCAGGCTAACAAACGAATTATCTTCAGATTTCAAATAAAATGGTTTCCCTTAACAGTGACTACCTACTGGACCCAAATTCAGAATTTCTTGACATCTTTAGAACACAGAGGGTATATTACATCCGGTTATCAAACTTCTCAGGGAAGATTGGTGCAGCTGATTAAATGATACCGACGAGTGACCACTGACAGGTTACAACCAAGTTTGTAAGAAAAGTTTCTGTAGGCCCATGACAAGTCACCCAGTCTGAAGTCAATCACAAGACCGTCAAATGGAATCTGACGAAAGTATTCCTGTGTCGTGTGACAGCCTAGACAATACAGACCAGTGCAACACAATGAAGACAGACTTAAAAGCTCCAAACTATCTGATTAAGTACTTATCTCACCTATTTTTGGTTCTAAAAGATGAAACAGTGACAGACTTTCCTCGTTGATGTCCTTCACACTACTAACCTATTGTGATAGCAACGAGAAAGTTTCACATTCATTTGAAGTCCGTTCACTGATACATTCAGGTTATAAAGGCAAGGTTTTTTAGTTGGTCCAGCAATCCCCTGACCTTCCTGATTCCAAACTGAAAAAAGAGAAAAAAAATATTTTGAGAAGTCTCGGATCCGCAACCAACAATTTACCAATACAAATGTAAAATAATTTTTTACCCCCCTGCCTGGCTGACGGCAAAGTCCCCGGTCCTTGGTGGCTACACTGGCCATAAGGGATACCTCTTTTTTGTTTTCCTTTTTTTTTTAATTTTTTTTTTCTATTCTTCCCTCTGACATGAAGACCATTATTTGATTTTCTTGAGACCACAGAAAATACCTTTTTTTCCCCGTCCTCCTCTAAAACTTGTCTTGAAAAATCCAAGCACCAACCGACAAAAAAATTCTCACCTTAGTTAAGGACAGTATTGCCGTCAAAAGTCTATACATGTTTGATATTTTGTTTTAGTATCTAACAAAGGTTTTTGGGATGTCGTTAGATACAAAGGTTATGGTTATGGGCCTGCTTATTTCACATGGATCTGGATCTTGATCAGTGATCCTAATGATGGTTCGCATCATCCATTAGGTGGGGTTTGGTGTCTGTAAACCAATGATGGATCACTGATCGTGATCCAGATGCATGTGAAAGAAATATGGCATGAATCTCAAGTTCAAGGCTCCAATTTTGATGTTATTCTTTGAGAAGGTGCTCTGCAAATCATGCTAAAATCTAAAGTAACACATGAAGCAACATATTACATTCCAGTGGACAAGACTTCTTGGCAGTACAGCAAGCGGTCCAATCACTCGATCGCCGCTGACTGTAAAGCCGTGGTGGCTATAGCTGGAGATGAACGGAAGACCTTCTGACTCCTTAGAAAGCAGGGATACTGTGGTACGGACATACAACTCATCATCGGTTGGTTGTAGCCTGCTCATGTGCCTGCATACGTATCTAATTAGTCAAAGGGAAACAAGTTCAAAAATGATACAACTGCTACGTACGCTAGTGGAACAAACCAAACAGACTTGAACGATGTATGTTGTTTATTTTGTGATTATTTTCTTTATTTTGATGAAGCTACTGTGTTTTGGGGGACCATTTCATGATGATCCTCAACTATGGTGAGTCTGTTTTTATGATATTCAACATTTTGAGTTAGTACTCGTGGAACTGGGGCTTCGAGTCCTGATTGCGTGAGTCTTGGACCAAACAATGCCATACTCTCAGAACTGTGGAAGTCCGGCATCCGTGGCAGACGCCGGACCCCACAGTGCTGGGGTAACAATAGTTGCCAAAATTATGCATGGGCATTATTAGGTTTGTCATGTTTGTAATTCAAATGAGACAGGAGTCATCTGTGTATAGGCCAATACTTGGACAAATAACATATTTGAGATGAGGATAGCGTAGGCTAATTACTAGTTAGGCCTACCATGGGCCTACACACGATACATTTTGAAGGCTGGGAAAATCTACATACATGAAGCGTCCATATCCATCATGACCATGTACATATGAAAGGCGGACCTAGATTACTCAGAGTCATTATGTTATTTTCAACACAATGGAAGTTTGAATGTTTCTAACGAAATGCAAACCTTGACATATACGGCCGTCTACATACTGCGACCACGTTCCTTGACACGAGCATGGAGGCAGCCATCTTGCTTTTGGAGCCTTCACGTTTTATAAACATTAACCGTGCGAAAATATCGCTGGTGATCAGCATCTAACTCGCGCGTGAGGGCCGGAAGCGTGTGAGATAACACCAGTGCCATTTGCGTGCAGTGTGTATTTAGGGCTGCGTGCGAACTTCATAGCGGGAAACTTCGTAATCGTATTGCCTGACTTACAAAAAGTATTTTGGCTGGTAATTGACTATTGTTCAAATATTTAAAATAGGATACGTGTGTGTTGTCAGTGTAAAACATGCTATATCATGTCTATTTATGTTATTTAGGCTTAAAATGATATTTAGGACGGCTGCCTGGCCTAGCCTGTAGTGTCAGTCATTGGGCAGCGAGTCAGTGTCTCTGACGCTGGCTAGCTAGGCCTATCTTTACCCGTAGGGCCTACCACCATGCATTGGCCTACAGAGTACATGTATTTGATACACATTTTGACAGACATCTTTTCCAACCTATGTGCTAGTCATGACGTCGACAGTCAGCCATGTGACAGCCTTGTTGCAAATACTGCATGGGTGATTTTGCACAATGGTGGAAAAGCATTGTGGGAAGGAAAAGCATGAAAAGGGGGCAATTGTTACTTCTTTTTCCTTCCCACAAAATGACAAATGCCTTTTAACCATGCCATCCATTAGAAAGTGATAACATGTCCTGAAAATGTCAGATTTTGCTGGGAAAATATTGGTAGATGCAACCCTGTAACATCCAGGAGCTTTAACCTTTCGCGGTGCAAACAAACACTAGTGCTACATTACAAGAAGTCAGTGGTGTTTTCACCTTGATTTGTACCCCCAGAACTGTGGGATCCGACGTCTGCCCCACAGTTCTGTGGGTACTCGCTGTGATCTCGGGTTGAAAAAGCTCCAGGATAATATGATATATAGTTGTATCCACCCAGCATGTCCAGTGAACATATTGAAGTGTTTACTTGAATTAGCAGATATGAGATACCTAGAATTTTTTCAGACCTGTAAGTTTTATACTTAAAATGTCTAGTATGTCTGGCATGATAGTCCTGATAATTCCCCCCAGAACTGGGAGTACACATCATACTCAAGCCGTGCAATGCAATGTCCATGACCATATTGTCACCAGGTCCCTAATTTCGTCACCTATTGTCAAGGGACCTGGCAACTATACCGTCATGGACGTTAGTTATGCGGACCATGCATTTACCAGCCCAAGGCAAGCATTGACATCCGTAGGTTCCCAACTTTTTTATGTGAATCTCCAGCGTCTCTTAATTGTACTCTGCTGGATCCTGGAAAAAAATCTATCGATCCAACTGCACAGCTGTAACTTAAAACACAATGACTGTGACAATGGCTCCACATCTAGCACTGGTTCTCTAACATGAAAGTCCCTGTTTCCATCAACAATGATGTTTGAATGTGACATCCCATTTTATTGTTTGGAAAATATTACAAGATCTTAATTTACAGAAAGGATTGAAGTGGTTGCATGGTCTTGTGGACAGCTTTGCTTATTCTGTGTCATGTTGTAAGGTCACAGGTTCGATTCTTGGTTTGGAACATATTTTTTGCTTTGCTAAAAAAAATATGTTTTACTTTTCAATGAAATGTAATATCAATTTCTTGGCTTTTATAAACTTTGGAGGATTTGTAGGTATTAAGCTGACACTATGCCACGAGTGCCGGCCTCAAGCCAGAGGCAGAGTCAGGGTAGGAGAAGAAGGCCCAGAGAGGTAGTGGATGCCGGCGGCTCATCCAACTCAGTAAGTTCTCACAGTTTTATCAGGAGTAGGGATTGAATTTCTAGACTGTACTGACTAAAACCGCCTACAAGTTTGCAGGCCAACCAGTTGACTGAGCTAGTGGCGTGACTTTTGGGCTTTCGGCATTCCTTCCATAAAAGTGGAAAGTGCAGGGCAAAATAGGCTGCAGTAGTTTTCCTACTTTTTTAGCATTACATGTACCATTTGCCTGTGCTTAAGCTCTCCTCATGTGAAACCAGCCCCTTTAATCATTTGAACTACTTGCATGCATGGAAGTGCCACTCACGAGTGAAACAGTCTGTGCGTAGTGTGTACAGGTCTTGTACAGGTGCACGGCACTCGTAAAAGCCTGGTTATACATGTCCACCTGGCACAAAGCACATATGCAGTAGGAATAGTAAGTGTCACCAGACTGCCATTTCAACCTTCATGGCAAAGCAGAAGCCTCAGTTTAATGATTTTGCATCACAGACCCTGTGCGCAGTTACTTCTCAACAGTGACATTATTTCCATAGTCAGTGTTGTAGCCAACCAGAGTCTCGTGAGTCATGGCCGAGGGTCAGGGGCCCGCTTAAGGGGACTCTAGATCACTTTCTCAGTGAGGTTTTGTTTGCAAATCGAGTAAGAGTTCAATTTAAAAAAGATTCTTCTAGGTAAAAATATGAAACTTTTCGGAGTGACTAACGTTTTTTCTTCACGGCTTCACAGGACGATGGTGACTTTGAGGTTAATGGCACCCAAGCAACCAGCCAGTCACAGACTCAGTCCCTGATGCAAGCGGACAAAGCTGCGGCCAAGCTCACCCCCGAACTCATTGAGAGGAAGGTGGGTGCACTGGGACTTTCTCAGATGAATTGATGAATCAGGCTGCAGTTGTTGTCTGACATGACTTGGACTGCCTAAGTTTACCTCATCTGCGATCAGTGTGGTGTGTTGTGGGCCATTCAGTGCACTGATGCAAGCACATGCACGCGCTGGAATGTACAGTCTTTGTATGAGCACTCTAGTCCCATTGAAGTGATTATCTGTCAGCCTCTCTCTGTCCAGTGAGGAAGGATACTTCTTCAGGAAGTGGATAAAAGTTATTCCTTTTCACCCTTAGAAGAGGACAAATATCCCTACTCTATGTACATGTAGGTCTTTAAAAAGCACATGTGTATATGTGTTACAAAACCCAACAAGAGGAATTGTTGGGTTGGGGGGTTGGTCGGTTACTCTAAGGTTAGGCAGTTGATAGAATCGTAAGACTAAACAAACTAAACGCTTGGCTTTCTGCACCACGGCGGGTTTGATTATCCACTTTCATTTTTAAGCATGAAATCTCAGCTTCTTTGCCTTGTTTTGTTGTTCATGTGTCAAAGGTCGGGGAGTTAGTGCAGTATCTACTTATCATGGAGCAGAGGAAGATCCCGGTGAGAAGAGGAGGTGAGTTGTGATGAACGGGGGGGGGTTACATCCTGGAAGTTTGCGTCTTTGCGTGGCTCCGTGGTACAACACTCGGAAGTCAGACTTTGAACAGTTTTAATTAGAGAAAGATCAGTATTAAAAACTTTTCCAGTTATTTCCGACAGAGTTTTGATCGGTCATATTTACAACATTAAACTGGGTACAACAGCATTAGTTATGGGACCATCTCACTGACCCCATGACAGTTACCCCCAGGCCCCCCCCAAAAAAAACCACCTGTAAGTGACAGTGTTTTTATTTTCACATCAGACATCACCAAGAATGTTTTAAAAGAGTATCGCAACATCTTGCCACATGTTCTGGAGAGAGCCAAGAGAAAACTCAAGCTGGCTTTTGGCTTTGAGGTCATCGAACTCCTACACAAGACAGGGAGGAGTACCACCAAGATGTATATTCTGCTGAACAAGATTGATGCCGAGAAACAGGGACATTTCATTGACAGGTGAGCAAATTCAGTCGTAATTGTGCTGCCTCAACTAAAGCATCTGTTTCATTACAGTTGGGACACCCGAACTTGGTACTGAAGGGTCAACCCAACTGCAGGGTTGACCGAACTGCAGGTTGACCGGAGATGCCACTTTTCTGGTTTTATCTGGATTTCTGTCTCTTTTTTTCAAACAGACCCCCGAAATTCCATTTTGCCTTTTTTCCCTTCTGGCTCAAAAGAAAAGACCCGAAAAGAAAACACAAACGGGAATGCCTTGATTTGCGCCGCTATGAATTCCAGTTCAGTGATGGTCGCGCATGGCACGTATGTGTCGAGCTCTTTCCCTGTAGTTGCCATAAAAACAAGGCTTCCTTCGTCTGCATGATCATCGAAACGACCAGAGATTCAGCAGTGCCACGCATAGCAAGTACTGCACGGCGCAGTGAACTGTCTACATGTGAGTCGATTTGTGCTTGCTCTACTGCGCAGCGCATTTAGCATGCTGAGCACATTTGTCACACAGCCTTGAATTCAAATCTTTCATGTCAGTGGTTCCCTACTGCAGTAGTTGTATGAATGGGAATATTGTACATAACAAGTCGGGAACCAACTACATCGTGGCCGTCCAGTGTGTTTTCACAGGCTGCGCCAGGCTGTCGATGGATGTCTTCAACCAGGCAAGAACATATCAGTGCATGGTTTGGAGTTAAAAATTTTACAATAATACGTGTGCCTCATGCAACAGAGTTTGTCAAAGTATGGAAAAATGTAGAATTTTAGATAGAACGGTCAACTGGAAAGCCATCGAATCAAGCGTGAAAAGTAAGTGCGTGCGCTTCGATGTCATTTGCCAGGATGAAAAAGACATATGCTTAAGGAAAAAAAGCAAAGACCCTGGTCCTTGCTGTTGCTTTTGTGCTTAGCGACGCGACGCCAACAGTCGGGCACCGGGCCTTTATAATGTGCATATGCACACAGACGTAAAAGGGAACTAACTGCAGCGCGTTTTCGAAATGAGTGGATTAGGCTGAGACTTTGGTTTCACTGGTTCCAGCTATGGTGGAGCATGGTTCAAAACCACATGTTGAAACTATGACTGGAACCAGTGAAACTGAAGTCTAAGCCGAATCCACTCGTTTGGCTTGAATTTAAGCACGAGTCTAGGGGGTTGTGGTCTCGGCCAGTTTCCGTACAATCGTGTGTAAATTCCAGCCGCATCGATTCAGACACGGCCACTGGGCAGACCATTCAGCATGTGTACATTCATGTTTGTGCATGCATCGCATGCGAGACTGAGGCGTGTGCTCAGTGACATCGTAAAAAATATTGTACCGTGTTATGGGTCCGTGTCAAGGCTGATCTGAAGTGAAGTAAAAAAGTTTAGGTATTTTTCAAGACAGAAGTAGAAACAAACGGTAAAAATGTTCAGGTACATGTACTTTTCATTACAATAACGGAATCAAACGGGGGTAAATACTTGCGCCCGTCTTTATGATTTACGGGCACATTTCTGAGACAAACGGGTGCATTTTAGCTACCTGCGCCCGGTAATTTCGAGCCGTTTTAAAAGCAAATTACTAGTCCTATTACTGTCATTGTAAATTTTAAGGGAGTACACTGGTTTTATGTTATGAGCAGGCCTACCGTACATCCTGTTAAGGTTGCATTTTCAGCTATTGTCGGTAAAAACATTGGCTCGAATCAGACATCGGCTCATGTTCCAATTAAAACATCAGACATCGGGTCGGCAGTTTAAAACTACATCAGTTGATCCCTTGTAATATACACAAGATGTTGACAGTAACGTGGCTTCTTTGAGTCACATGCTTAGTGACTGTTGTGTGTATTGCTTCTATCAGTATGCAGTTTCTAACTAAGTAATTGCACCGAGAGAGATCATTTCTGGCCTCTGCTGTTTCTCTATAGCTCCAGGGATGACCCCAAGGTTGGGCTGCTCATTACCGTGCTCAGCATCATCTTCATGAGTGGAGGCACAGTCACTGAGCGTGAGTACCGCAAGGCTGTTGCCATTTTATCGCTTTTGTTGACCCATTTAAACCACGGCATGTTGTGTTAGCTTACACTTGCCGCTTCCCCCCCCCCCCACCAGTGACACAGCCCCCAGGATTTTCCCGAATACTTTGACTAGGTCCCTTTGAGTGGACCTGCGTGTGCAGAGGTAGAAACAGTTGACCAGTGATTAAGCTGGAGTTCAGATCTGAACTTGCCCACGGCGATGTGATTTGCAGAGTGTCAAGCACTGATGTTCCAGTGTCTTAAATATGAGATCCATTCAAGCTTCCCTTGTTGTCCTTCCCCCACAGCTGTTCTTTGGCACACCCTGAAAAAATTGGGCATCCGACAAGATGAGTAAGTTGGAGTTTGTGTTTTTTTAGTGTAGAATAGGGAACCAATCTTATCATTTTAAAGCACTGGCTATATTGTTTGGCCTTGTTTGTGTTTTTTGTTTATTCAGGAATGAAAGTAAATGAGTGGAAACCAGCTAGTGGAAACCCAGAAAATAAAACAGTGCCAAAAGTTGATCAAAGTATCTTAGGCCAAAAAAGTCTCCGGTTACTGGTCAGCGCTCGCATTGCTGTAGACCTGTGCATTGGCAAAATAAAAAAGTTTTTATTTGGTATAAAGCACTGTCCAAAAGCTGCCGTACCACTTTTGGAGGCTGCTCCTGACCAGAAACCGGAGACCCTTTTTTTGGGCCTTAACTTTAACTTGCTCAGATTGCTCAAAATTCACCAGAAAGTTTTCAAGGATTTTGTAGGTTTCAGGAGAGGAACCACCACTGTTTCTTAGCATGGATTAGTAGACAGGTTTGAGCCAGTGTGTGACCTACTTATAAGGATGCTCCTGAGAGTTGTATAGGGGCTGGATTAAAACTGTGCATCTGGACTGATTTTGCTAAATGGCTCTGTCATTTGTTCTTCTATGCAGGAAAAACCATGAGGTATTTGGAGATGTGAAGAAGCTTCTTACTTCTGAGTTTGCCTCCAAACAAATGTAAGACTAGGACATCATTGTCATCCTTCCTAATCAACTTCTTGCACACCTGGGGGTAGATCCGGCTTAATGTTCAGGGTTTATGACCGGGGGTCCGGTGTTTGAATGCAGCTGCTGGCCATACCTGTATCCTGGGGGTAAGCTACTTCACCCCTATTTACCCCTGTCTGCCTTGGAGGGTACTTTTATGCCTTCATACGTGATGTTTTTCTGTGTCAAAATGCCGTGTCACATCTTGAGGTAATGTTTGTTTCATGTGTCGGCGTTGGCCCCCATTGCAGGTATCTGGACTACACTCGCATTCCCAACACGGACCCGCCGGCCTACCAGTTCAAGTGGGGCCTCAGGGCACAGACGGAATGCACCAAGCGGAGGGTGCTAGAGTTTGTCTGCAAGGTGAGTTGGTAGGGTGCGAGTGCAGGGCAGGGCTGTCCCCTAGAGACTGTACGTTGGCATAACCACCCATTTCAGCAATGAGACACAGAAAGATTAGGCCGAAACTTGCGTGCCATTGCTATTGTGGGCCCTGCCGTTCCCCAGCGGAGAGACCCAGTAATTATGTGCACATTCAGACGAAAAATTACTTCTAATACTTTGTTGTAACATTTGTGAGCCAGTGCATGTGTGTGACATGTCCACTGGAATGCCTAAACAGTATTCCTGGTATACCTGGGCATGGAAGCTCTGTGCGACCCCCTGTGCCTTAACCAGCCGAAGGCGTTAGAAAATAGACCAAGGTGGTTATTGGTGGACACCTGTCATCAGATTCTGCCCACTGAATTATCTCATCCTGGAGACCATAAAATATGTGCACTATGGATGATTTGGTAGGCTTAATGACAAACAGTGTCCCTATTTGATTGATATTATAAACTTCCATTTCCCCCCCCCCCAAATTACTGTTAACTCAATTTGCTGTCTTCAAGACAACATTATAATTGAGTGTACTAAATTAGACACCTTTAGTGTTAACCACTTGCTGCTGGGTTTAATTTGAAGTTTCATGACGAATTCCCAAGGGATTTTCAAGATTTTCCATTTTCAAAATTCTTCAAAAATTCATAACTTCATTTACTGGAGGTTTACACCCACACGAATAACTGTCCGGTGGCTACTCTAATCTGACAGACAACATCTATTGACACCCGAGTATTTCAGTCAGGCCTGTTGCCTTTTAAAAAGAGCCCAGATTGTGCGGTGTCACATAATTTTCTTTTGTTCCCGAAACTGGTCCAGTGCACTGCTGGTGTCTTTTCAATAGGGGCCAGATTAGCGTGCAGCGGCATTGTATCGCTCATCACTGGAGTGCTGAAGTGCTTTTGTCCCCGGTCGTAATCCGTTCGCATTGAATGCCACAAACAGTGGTATACTCTTTCAAAATAATGACGGCTTACCTCTGCTATTGACAAATGAAAAAATGTTGGCAATTCCTAACAGGTTTGTTACAAGGCCCAGCTCCTTTGTCCGATTTCAGGCACCCCAGCTGTGCGTATAAAGCCAATGTCTCCAGTACTGGGCACTCCAGCACGAAGTGGTTAAAATGTTCCGCAATTAAGGTTGCATTTTTCTCTCTCAGATGTATGGAAACGACATGGACATGAAGACGTGGAAGGAGCAGTATCGAGAGGTATTGCAGTCGGAAAACGCGGACCACGGAGACGACGACTCGGTTTCCTCAAATGGAGATATGCAGTCTGACGACTCAGAAGAGTCCGACTGAGACTGCCGCCATCTTCAACCCTCTGTTCCGTCATCCTCGGCTTCATATACATTCCCACATATACAATGTATGAACTTTTAAGAAAGCTTTTACAGAGATTGCCTCCTTTTTAGCTCCAGATGGCTGACTTTTGAATAAGGTCTATTGTAGCCATGTAGTGTCACACTGCTGCAGAAAACTTAGAAACCAAATGCTGTTAATCAAGACCAGTGTTTAAGAATTGTGGACCAAATCCCACAATTTTCCAAGATTTTCTTTTTCATCCAAGTGAAGTAAATCTGCACTTCGACTTCCTTTTGATTTTGACCACAGAAACATAACCCTGGACAATTCACAATACACGGCACTGGCTATCCGCACTGTGCACAAAGACTTCCTTCTCTGTTGACATGTGGTGGGACCGTGCTCAAATAACCCCCTCTCTGTTGACAAATGGGGAGACAAGGGGTGTACTCATTTAAACATGTGACAGATTTGTCACATTGCAGTCTGTAAACTTGATGCCAGAGACATGTGAGAGAGCACGCATGCCTGATGTACCATTGTGGTCGAGACACTGTAAGGCCATCAGAGGTCAAAGCAGGCTTCGAGTACAAACTCAGGTCACAAGCTATTCCAAAAGACTGCAACAAAAGCTGCAGTCTCGGTCTAGAGTAGAGCCAGTCCCCCCCCCCCGGTGTACTTAAAGTCATACTGAAATTGAAGGATTGAGGACTGTCAGGGCCAGTCCGAGTCTGGTCTTGTGATGGTCTAAATTTCATCGTGTCAAGGGAGATTGTTCCTTGATAATAGAGAAACTCCTATTCTGACATGGCGGCATACCACGCTGACGTAGTCACGATGGTTTCTTTGGGATATACAGAATAATTGATCAAATACTTCAAGCAGCCAGGATGATGTTATTTTTTTCAGAAGAAAATAGCAATCTGACAACTGGGATGTCAGGACGGCTATAGATGGTCACTTGAATGACTGAAGGGAGGAGGTTAAATCCCTGAATGAATGGTCCACTGATCTACCTGTTGTTGCTTAATACTGTTTTCAGCTACATCACACATTTGATGTCATTCCTCATTTATTTTGTTTTGGTATGAGTTTGTGAAGACACCTGTTTTATTAAAGCTATTTAACGTAGAGTTTCAATAAAAAAAATTCTGGTAAAGATGTATTCACGATAACTCCTTCACTAGAGAGGCTTTCTACCACACACCCCGCACAGCTATTGTTCTTCATTTTTCAATTCACTAAGTACAACTATATACAGTCATCTCATAAGCCCTAGATGACATTAAAATCGCTTATCCAAGAAAGGTAACGAGGTCGAGCATATAGCCAAAACCGTGAGGATGAGCGGAAACGCCTTTGCATCAAAGATCAGATTAATCTGAAGAGCAGCGTTGGATTACTACCTCACTCGTGCACGTCGACTGAAGAAAAGTAACCCTGCAGCTTGGTATCTCGAGATCCGCGTAATGACGGGTGGCAGACGGGGTCAGCCGTACATCGGAGTACCTGGCCTTGATTCGGCTGATGATAAAACAACTGCAAATGCAATCAACAATCACTTCATCTCAGTTACCCTAGATGTGGATCCACTGACCACTTCAAAACTACCTGCATTTCTTCCGGCACCCCAATCGAACCTGATGATATATCGATGGGATGTATAGAGAGAGCGCTTGCGAAAGTCAAGTGTATGTACCACCGCTTGAGGACCCGATGGCATCCCCACAAAAAAAAAATACGCGAATTTTCTTATGAACTTGCAACACCTCTCGCTCATATCATCAATTAATCTATCCAACAAAATATTGTTCCTAATGAATGGAAACGAGCAATCTTGATCCCAATTCCGAAATCAAATCCGCCCCAGAAGATTTACGACCGACGTGTCACTCACAGACCATTTTGCAAAAATCATGGAAGGCTTTGTTGCTAAATGGGTACCAAGCGATATTCTACCACAGTTGGGTTCGATGCAGTTTGGCAACCGGAATTATTTGTCAACATCACACTGTATTGTCAGCATTTTGCATGATGTGTTTGTTAATGCGAATAAACCGAAATCCTCTTCCACGGTTGTTGCAACTGATTTTTCAAAAGCGTTTGACCGTATAAATCATTCCATAGCCGCACGTAAACTTACCAGCCGTAGAGTTTGTCCCAACCTTGTGGCCTCGGATCACGAGTTTTTTTTTAAATGCGCACGGTTTAGATCATCCCTTTCAAACTGGTCAACGTTGCATGCTAGAGTACCACAGGGGACCCGTTTAGGCCCCATAATGTTTCTTGTAATGAAAAACGGCGCATCATCTAACTGCATTAATGCCTAAAAATATGTAGATGACAATCGGTCGAAGTGGAAATGAAGCTCTAACATGCAAAGTGCTGTTTCCAGCCTGGCCAGTTGGTCACATCAGAATAATATGAAATTAAACTCGATATGTTCTGTGCTGCATATCAATTTCACTTGAAACCCAGTTTACCGTCTGCAGTTTGTACAGATAATCACCCGTTGCAATCTGTCAAGTTAAGGCTCCTAGGTAATATCATATTAGTGCCCAGGGCTTATTAGTGGCTCGGTATCATTATGTAACATGTAATACTCCTGCTGTGATTGATGATGTAAATTGCAAGAGACAATTTGTTAATGATACCCATTTCAGCCTTGGGGCTGCAATGTATTGTATTTAACAACGACAACGGCAACACCGGCAGCAGCAACAACAGCAGCAACAGCAGCAGCAACACCAGCAACAACAACAGCAGCACCAGCAACAACAACAGCACCAACACCAGCAACAACAATAACAGCTGCATCAGCAGCAGCAACAGCAGCAGCAGTTAGATGACCTGGATTTTGCCTATGACTTGGCACTCATTGCACAATCGTTACAACCATGATGCAGGAAAAGACGACTTTACCATCAGATAGTGCAACGAGGATTGGGCTCAATATCAATGGGAGAAAAACACAAATCATGAAGATCTACACCAAGGCCAACACCTCAGAAGAAATTGACGACGAGGCCGTTGAAGTAGATTCATTTGTATCGAAAGTGCCATTGACACACAAGTCGGTACGAGACACGATAATAATTCGTTTAAACGAGATAAAATAATTTTTTCGCGTTGGCAGCAATACGCTTCCGTAGCAGGCCACTGCTCATTTGCTTTGAAAAACATGAGTGTAACCTGGGTACCCCGGCTCTGCGTGTTCTTGCCTGTTACTGTTCGTGGGTGAGAATCATGCGCTTAATGGATGACTTACCGTGGGGGAATTTGTAGCAAAGTTTATTCTTTCAGGAGACTGACTCAAGTACTTCTGCACGGGTTAAGGGCCTTAGTGCGTATCGTCTCTATTGATACCTAATCGGCATGTCACAATGAATACCGCGGGATAGAGAGAGCATAGCGTAGGCTTCAACTTGCTGTTGTGTGTAAACCAACCGTTGGTGCGCACTGACGCATGCCATTTTCAACAACCGTTGAAAATTGAGTCGCAACTCTCTCCACATACGGCTGTAACTGTACATCATCTGCATCGAGTACATGAAAGGCCTGGTTGTACATGTACATCAACATGGATTGGATTCAGTCACGTCAGGGCTGGTGTGCCGTTCTCTGTCTGTTTACCACCTGGTTTCTCTGGCACTTTCTCATAAAGGGTCTTGGCGTAATGTTGCCAACATTACAAGAGCACTTCTCCACCAAAACCTGGCTGATCGGCTGGATGGTATCAATTATATCTGGAGTCATTTGTCTTTCAGGTAACTTGAATAGAAATGAGTTTTCGAGGTTGTAAAGTTCATGAACAAGTACAGTGACAAAATGGCAGTTTCACTATTGTCCAACTTATTTTGAAAGAACGACTTTGGTCGTTTAGCGATTGAAACGCAAACGTTTTAGAGACACCTTGTAAAACGTTCGCAAAAACCGGCACCTTGTCAGAATTCAGGTTTGTCTGATTTAAAGTTAAAGAAAACTCATCTTGAGTTTTGAAGTTGGTAATTTTTGCTTCAAGTAGTTAATATAGGTTTTCCCGGTCAATTTTGGAAAAAGCGCTGTTTAATTTAAAATAGAAATTCAATTTGGCGTGGACTTTGAAAACGACTTAAAACCTGGTTTCATTTTCGCAATACGAGAATTCAACATCGTTTTGCATCCTTACATTAAAACACTTCGCGCGAAATCGCCTGCACATTTTGCGAAATAGGTTGAGTTCAAATCAAGATGATTGCAGAGGTACATTCGCGCAAAAATGAATGTCAACATTCTCATAACCAGTTCCACATCAGGAAATTGAACGCTGACTTAATACGACTGAATGCACCCTCACTGAAACAGAATTTTTACTTGTTAAAATAGAAACGGGGATTTGAATGCTCATTCCATTGAAACGAATGCTGCATTACTAATTCTTTTACACATATTTTACGTAATTTTGTGTGATGTCAAAGATTAGCGATGATGATTTGTAATGTAAAGCTTTTTGGTGCAAATCACGAAGACAAGTTAAAGGAATAATATGCTGATGGGAATGTGCACAAGTGGGTGGTACCTGGTGTGCCTTTATTTCTGACTAGCATTGTCAATGTTTTAATAACTTACACTATTAATTTGATGTATGTGAGTTCTTACGAAAGCCCACTACTGCCATGACGTATAAACTGCAAAATTGCCTGAATTAAATGTTAACACAAGAAGGGTTCAAAACTGGAATTACCCAGCGTTTATTGAGTAGTGTCATCCGATTTCTTGGTTGTTTTAACGATGACTCATTTGGTGGGTATAAAATAAACCAGAAATTAAACCCCCAAGATTGGTTAACACAAACTATTTTGAGTAATTGCAGTTTCCATCCTCCCTTGGGTCAAAATTTAAACCAGGCAAGTTTTAGGTGAACATTTTCAAAAGGTGAAGTTATTTTAAAGTTCGTTTCTATTTTGGGCGAAAAATCTTTATGAGACGCCGTTTCAACATTTCTAGGAGACACATTAATTTTTTTCTAAAGCTTTTTTTTTGGGGGGGGGTCATACTACAGAAGCCCGTTAGCGCTAATTTGAACTGTGCACAAATATTTTTTTGCGAAATAACGCAATAACTTTGCAAAATAATGCAACAGTGTTGCGAAATAACGCAGTAGTTCTACTGGACATTTGGGGCACATTCGCCCGGTAACTCCGACTAACGAGAGTAGGAAGCGTGCGCATTACACGTGCAGGAAAAAAAATCATAATTAGAAAAATCATAATTAGATCAGCAAAAGCTAAAACATTGTTGTGACTGACGTTAATGTTATATATTTCCGGAAGACAATACTGATTAGTCGCGTAGCTCTTTCTGATTACATTTGATTTAAAAAAAAAAGGAAAAGAGTTTTCTTCAACAAGTCACTCTCAATGAAAACACAAAGTTAGGAAGAATCTACGAAAAAGAACAACAGAATCAAGGCCTGGTACCTATGGCATGTACTGTGCAAGCACAGGAAATGAAAGAAAACAGTAGAGGCGCCCATTTATATTTGTTTTATACATTATTTGCATAAATCCTTGTCATCATTTCCTCTATTTTCAGTTGGGAGAACAAACAGCAAAATAAACGTTTTGTGTATCACATTAATTTCCTTCAAAAGCTGAAGAGTAATGAACTTTGACTGACAATTGCCAGTGTCCGATCTGGCTTCATCACAATGACTTTCTGTCAATCCGCCCGTTCAACTGCCGATCAATTGTGAAAACAGTGAAATCTTGTCTAGCTTGAGCTGTCAACCATTGAGCTAGCTTCACTCAAAGCTGTCCTCTGCGTCAGGATCTGATGCTGTCATATCCAGAGATGGCAGAAAGGAATCTTTTGCGTTCGATGTTCGACCTTGTTCTCAATTAAGTATAGTACTGAACCCATTAAATTTGAGCCCGTCTCCTTTTGAGAGCATTTTGAGAAGACTAACCCCTCTGCCCTATCGCCCTATGGGCTACAATGACTCCATGTGCCACCACTTTTTGTTTGCATCAAAGTTGTCAAACCACTTGCGCCACGACACCACCCGCCCCCTCCTAATTAAAATCCGGTAACTGAAGGTTTACTGTATTCGTTGCTGCAATGCAAGCCAATTTGTTAAACTGCATGAGTTCATCAACAGCTAGGTTGACTTCAAAATTGTGCATGCAATTAACAAATGTTGTGGTGGATCATTTGTATTCTGGGAGCAGCCTGCAGACTAATTCGATGATTGATCGGATTTTTGCATTCACACGAAGCACTGCTGGTAGACATGGCAGAGCTCTGACTAATTTACGAGACAGTTTGGAGAGAGGTGCAGGTACTGCGTCATTGAAAAAAAACCCAAACATTCAAACAGCTCAATCTTCATTATTCAGTCCGACAGTACATGACTTGCACATGAATGAATTTACCGAGGAAAGAATGTTACAGTAGCTGTGTACTAAGTCTACGGACAGTAAAGAAAATAGTATATAACAAAACTGAAAATCGGTTCTCAGTCCTAAGTTCATGTCTTTTGGACATTTCTGCAATTGAAATAGGAAATAGAATGAAAATAACCCCAGGCAGGATAGCATTATTTTCTGTACTGTGCATTGAAGCACCACTATCACATTTTACCAGTTCAAATAAGCAACGCGACTTGAAGACCCATTCACTCACAAAATGGCGTACAAGATAACAAAGCATACAAGCAGATACTTTAAGTTATACCAATTAAAGTCGCTAACAAATACACGCACATTCAAAATGCTGTTCTGAACAAACAAAAATTTAAATAAATGACTTTTTAATTTTTATTTGTGTCTGCAATTGTGATTTGAATAAAAGCCTTTACTTAAGTTGAAATTTTGCAATATAAATGTTTCAAAGAGCGCAACAAATAGTTGTAAAAAGGTTTCACATCAATTGGATTTTTTGTTTACAATTGTTGAATTTTAACTTATATGTCAACATGCCCGAGGGTATGTAGATTCAGATTGTCTGTGGTCTACAGAATAGAAATCTATCCAAACATATTATATAGCCTCCAGAACAAGGTTCAGGTAAAAAGTGGCCTTCGGCGGGACTGTTGTAGACAGTGAGCCAAGCGGCGTCCGTATGTGGAACTCTTTCCGAGAGCACAAACACAAGAAAATGGTTCAACCTAACACAAGTAGAGTGTGGCCCCCGGAAAAGTATCCAAAAGAAAACTGTAACTTTTACTTCTCCAGCAAAAGGTGAGATTGACCACGCTAGGTCTTATGCAAGTGGGACACAAAGAGCTAAACATAAGGACACAAAGATGACATTTACATGATGATGAACTGACGGAAGGTGGTATACAAAATAACACAGGTTACATCAGACCTCTTGCAGCAATACATGTATAGCCTACACTATACAGAAGAAAGGACCGCCGCCTGGCAAGAAAGGCCAAACCAGAGTGTACATGTAGTGCAAAATGCTTTGCCCAGTTAAACATGGGCTTTGAAAAAAAGGCATGGAGAAAGTCTGTGGAATGCTTAATCTTGTATACCTTTTGTCATTTACACGGTGGTTATGGCCCAGTACCAGAAGAATAGGCTATGGCACAAAGAACATGCCAACAGTTGGGTGAACTACTTACAGGCAGCACGACTGCGTGTCTTGGCCTAGCACCAATTCAACGAATAAACCTAAACCCCTTTGTTGCAGTTGCATCACGCATGTTCATCTGCCGCTGCCGGTGCACCAGAGTTAATGCGCGGGTTTGTATGGGGTGGCGCACTACGGGCGAGCCGCGTTCTGGTCGCGTCTCCTACGACTACGGCTTCAAATTCCTATCAAACACTGAAGAGCCGTAGCCAGTGTTCAATACTGGGATGTTGCAGTCTCACACGGAGACGCCGCACAGCATGTTCAACACAGCACGCGTAGCTTGCGGCATAAACCGTTTTTAAAAAGTGATTTTATATTTTATGCAACATCGACATGTTGTGCCCTAGAAGCCAGTACTGATCTTTGATAGGGCCTACATTGTATACCATAAAGCAATTTTTCTCGATACCATTTAAACCTTATTGAATTCTATACTATTCGAATGTAATTCGGGTGGACTTTCGGTTAGGTTGCGAGTTGCTGTAACAGAATAAAATCACAGCGTGAACTAAATTTAAGTTCATGAATCTGTCTTTAAAAAATGTAGCAAGTGAATGAGCATCAGTCGATGGCCTTGAGTTCAACGCTGACATTGATGGGTTTCAGTCATGGAAAAACTCCGGATGCAAGAATGCACGAATCTCATTGTTCGAAAAAGGCTACTGCTGCATTAGATGACTAAATACCAAAAGAATTACATCAGACATCTCATTTCCATCACAAATGCTGTTCCGGCGTACATTGTTCGGCCCTGAACAACAAGCAAAACTAAGTGGAGGGAGGAAACATACGTGGAAAGAGATAGTGGCTGCAAAAGAGGATGGGACATGCATCCATCCAGTAAAGGCCTGGTTGCATATCAATATGGGTTGGATTCAAGTTAGGTCTCCTGAGGGCTGGCGTGCCGTTCTCTGCCTGTTTACCACCCGGTTTCTATGGAAGTTTCTTATAAAGGGTCTTGGCGTGATGTTACCAACATTACAAGAGCAATTCTCCACGCAAACCTGGCTGATAGGTTGGACGGTGTCAATTATGTCTCCAGTCGCATGTCTTACAGGTAACGTGCGTAGAAGTGAATTGTGTCATTTATATATGGGTAATGACAAAACAGGCGTTTCATCACAATCCAATTTGATTCTCGAGGAACCAATTTGTGCAGTACCTGTTTGGTCACGTCATAAAATTTTTATGATGCATTGCTAACTGTTCTGTGATTAAAAACTTTACGAGCACCTTGTCAGAATTAATAATTAATTATCCTCACTCGTGAAGTTTATAATTTTTGCTTGAAGTAGGGAATAGTTACTTCTTTTGTGAGGTCAAAGATTTGCATTTGGGGAGAGTTCCATACACGGATGCCAGTCCCTAAAGTGACCTATTAGCCGTCACAAAGCAAAAGAATGTCCAGAAAAGTTCAATTTTACGAAGGAAAAAACCAAGTCGTTTTACTTAAAAACACTTAGAATTTTTTGACCAGTCTCATAAGGTTTGTGCACAGGATGTCAAGCGGCGTCCGCATATGGATCTCTTTCCTTGCATTAAAAAAAATATTAGCCCATAAAGCCTTTGGTTTCAAATCATCCAGACAATTTAAAGGAACACCGAGCAGGGAATGTCACAACTGGATGATACCCGGTGTGCATTTATTTTTGACTAGAGTGTCAATGTTTTGGTAAATTGTATTATGTCTGGAACCCCAGACAGGTTTTGTGAAAACAGATGCCTCGTGCAATTGTGAGTACGCACGAGTATATCTTTGAAATATTGTAAATAAAAACAAATTGTTTGAAAATTTAGCTATTTTAAATATACACGTTTATATCTCCATAGACCAAACTTTAAAAATTGTACATTAAAAACCAAACCTAGGAAAACATCTCTCCCCAAAACGACTTTTAAAATGAAATTGTATCTCGCACAAACGAGCTTGAAAAAAAAATGTATTTCACTTTTAAAAAAATGTATACCGGTACTTCATGACTCCAGTAGGCTTTTGTAAATTCGAGTGTAAATTTTGGTGATTTGTGAACATGCGAAGTTGATACCAGTAATATTTTACACTCGGATATCCTTTCAATTTTAAAAAATGTATACCGGTACTTCATGACTCCAGTGGGCTTTCGTAAATTCGAGTGTAAATTTTGGTGATTTGTGAACATGCGAAGTTGATACCAGTAATATTTTACATTCAGATATCCTTTCAATTCTTTCGCATTCTGTAACAGGTGTCCTTGCTAGGCCTCTGGAGGTCGTGTTTGGTACACGCACTGTGGTCACCGTGGGTGGGTTCCTCCTTGGAGCGGGCATGATCGTCGCTTCTTTTACCCCGAGTGTCACGACACTGACATTAGCTATAGCATTGACAGCTGGTAAATACATCTTTCCTTGACCACATACTTTACATCACATGTATTTTTATGAACGATTGTATTTTTATGTTATTATTATAGTTTATTATTACAATTTCATAAGCAGCCTGAAGCTAAAATACAGAAATTTACATTTCATGAATTAAAAAGGCTATGACAGTTGTAAAATATAAATTGAGAAGTATGCAATAAATAAGAACTAAATAAAAACTAAATAAGCCCTAACAGTCTCAAATCCTCCGATTTCAATATAATTTTACATATACATTTATAATCCTTATAAAATAAGGGATGGAAATGTTCTCAAACCGTTCTACGGCGATCGGCACTTGATATTTTGCTGTTGTGTAACTGATGAGTAGACGTAACAGTAGGGTAGAGATATTTCGTCAAGGCAGATCCAGGAATTGATTTAGCACACGCCCACATAGTTATATCTTCGCGACTGCAACTGATCTAGCCCAAGTATATGACGCCATTAATGACTTAAATAGTACGAAAATATCTAACGAAAACAACATACATACATATGACGAAACTAATGTGTATATAGGACGAAAGTGAAATAAATCTAAAACGAAACAAATTATTTCGAAGATGGATTTGCGCCTAGATGTAAATTAATTTTTGATTTTGCCCTGCCTGACATGTATTAAATTACTGTATGCTCAGTGTATGCCCCCGAAGGCTTGTGAAAAAAACCACAAGCGTATTCAGGGGGGACTCGAACCCACGACCTCCTGCTTACTAGTGCAGACATCTTAACCACTCGTCCACCGAACTTGCCGGTGTCGGCTGGCTGGTTCGAATCAGATATAGCAGCGGGTACCGCAGACAACTATTTCAAAGGTGGATTTGAGCCAGGGAAATCTAAATTAATCTTTAAAATATATAAAGGACGAAAGAAATATATATAGGACGAAACTGATAAAGTACGAAACCAATCTGTATATCGGACAACAAGACATTTAAAAGACACTGGTGATTTATATAGGACGAAAACTAATAAATCTGCGACAAAACTCTTGTAAACGACGAAAAGAACGAAAATATAGGACAAAACTACCAAATATAGGACGAAACTAAAAAAAAATAGAACGAAACTAACAAAAAGTATAGAACGAAACTAATAACTAGGACGAAGCGCCCCCACCTCAACGCCAAATCGGTTGTGATATAGAGCCAAACCGTAAAATATATAAAACGAAAACGATACAAAGCTGACAAAGCCACGTTTATACATGTGCGCGGTCAAATGGTTTGCAACAGCTTTCTCCAGACATTTACTTACAACTGAACAAACTGGTCTGTAATTACTCATATCATGTACATCACCAGACTTGTGTATTGAGATGATGTTTGCAAGTTTCCATTCAGCTGGTACTTAACCAGTCGACAGAGATATGTTAAAAATTTGGCTCAGAGGGTAAGCCATACTGTCAGCAGCGATTTTAAGAAGCATGGGGGAAATATTATAAGGCCCTGGTGCCTTATATGGGTCTAAGGCAATTAGAACCTTAAGAACTTCTACAGGACTATAGTATGCAAATGAAATAGCTGAAGTAGGAAGTAGAACCTACTGCCTTAAAGTGGGGGGGGGCAGAACTTGTCGTCTTATTAGGTTCACCTGACAAAAGGAGACCCTCTTGTCGGGGGAATGCCTGGGATCTTGAGCCTTGTCAGGCCTTGTGTCAGGCCTATGTTCCTCGTCATAGATGTTTGAGCTCTGCGTACCAAGGTTTGGTTGCCAGAGACCTTGACTTTCAGGTGATGAAAAGAGTTGCTGTGGAGGCATCCGTCTGTGTGGGTAGGCTTGCGGTAGATGCTATGTGTGAGGATGTCATCTTGTTTTCTGGAAACCGCAATATCAAGGAATGGGATGCTGCTATCCCTTTCTTGTTCCACGGGGAACTTGATATTGATGTGGATGCTGTTGAGGTGTTCTTAGAAGAGCTGCAGGTTGGATGGTCCGTGCTGCCATATACGACAAAGTTATCATCGACATACCTGAGCTGTGTTCTGCCGTGGCGATGGTGGTCTGCTAGTTCTTCCATGAACATGCCTGCCAGAACAGGGGATATAGGTGATCCCATGGAGGTTCCAACCGCCTGTTCGAAGAACTTGTCACGCCAACGGAAGATGGATGAGAGGAGACAGGTGTGGAGAAGATCTTGAACTTGGTCGGGTTTGAGGTCTGTGCGGTTCTTGAGTGTTGGGTCCCGTTGAAGTCTCTCACTGGCGATGTTGCACACATCCTCCGTGGGAACGCGGATAAATAAAGAGACGTCATGGAAGCTCTCCATTATGTCTTCAGGTTGGAGGATGAGATCTTGAATGAAGTTGGAAAATTGGTCAGAGTTCGTGACGTGGTGTTGCCCACCAGGGGGTGCGAAATCTTGGTGAGGTACTTAGATGTGTTGTAGGTGGGCCCTCCCCGGGAGGCCACTACAGGAAGGAGAGAGGGACATCTGGCTTGTGAATCTTGGGTTGTCGGAAGAATCTGGGGCACTTGGAGCCGGAGGGGCGAAGTTCACGATACAGGATTGGGGAGATGTTGCCGGATCGCTTGAGGTCAAGGAGTTCTCCTGGAGCCGATTCTTGACGATGAGAGTGGGATCCTTACGTAGACGTGATAGAAGCCCTACATGAGGACGTCCTGAACCTTGCAGTCATAGTCAGTTTTGTTCATGATGACCGTGACGTTACCCTTGTCAGCTTGGAAGACGTGGATGCTCTTTTCTTTCCGTAGGGTTTGGGGCCTTGGGATATATAGGCGATGCCCTTGCCCAGATGGGGCCTGAGTTGGTGTTGCTGGTAACTGGATTTGTTTTAAGAGACTGGAACTTCTTGATTTGACGGTGGCGGGTCTCCTCAAAGGCATGGATGCTGGAAGATTGGGTGAGGCGTTGGATCTTGAGGAAGTAAGCTTGAGATACACTGGTCCTGAGGTGCTGGCAGGCAGTAGTGATCTGCCTGTCCACATAGGCGAGCGAAGATCAAGTAGTGGAGATGCGGTGAGGAAGCAGTGCAAGGCTAGCTTTCTTCAGGATTTCTTGTGACTTGGAGTCTCGAACTGGGTCTCGGAGAATAAGGCCTGACGAAACGGTGCTTGAATCTCTGCATCTTTTCAAGAAGGCTAGGCTGTTGATTCGCCTTGACTGCTTGTTGGAATGGCGCTCATACATCCCATATAACGTTAAGAGGTGGTAAAGGCATCCCGTAGAGCAAAGTTAGGTAGGATTTGAGGGTTTGCATGAGTGAAGGTAGCGATAGGAATCTCTTTTGTGAGCAGGTGTGGTTCTGATAAGTCCGGGGGGTTCAACGTTTCGAACAGCTTGCTCTGTTCGTCTTCAGAAGAATGCAGGATTCTGGCTAGAGAGGGGTTTCGATTGGTCGAGGATTCTGTGCAGAGGATTACCTCGTTCTGGCGTATTGTACTGGATGCAAAGCTGGTTAATTGATTGATGTCGTTGACGATAGCCAAAAAGACTAGTAGGCCTAATTTGGTTCCCTGTGGAACACTAGCATGGGTGACAATTTTGAAAAGAACTGGCAATACCTCACACGATGCATACGATCTGACAGAAAATCGGCTTTCCAGGCAATAGCAGAGGGAGAAACACTTATATCCAAAAGCTTAGTAATGGCAATGGTGTGATCAACACGATTAAACGCTTTAGAAAAATTGGTTAATAATACTGGAGAAACTGTTTTGGATCGATCCGCCTGAATATGCAACATGTGAAGTATATCAATAGTCACAAGTAAAACCAAATACCAGACTTAGAATATACCAGTGAAACATTTAACGTGGAAAATAAGGGTTGGTTCCGACTGCGTTCCAGGCACCATGTCGTCAGCGGCTTCCATTGCTGGCAGGTCAGTTAGAAATGAGTCGAAAACTTTCATTCGCTTGTCTAGATAAAAAACCCAAGTAGTGCAGGATAAAATAGGTAAGTTAACAATAAAACAACAAAAGTCGACAATGGTGAAAAACACGCAAAATAAAAACAATTGCACAATCAATTAGTGAGAAAAGGCATTTTTTTGTCTAATGAAAGTGAAATAGGCCTATTTACATGTATCTTTTTCTCGTGTCTCTGTCGACAGGATCAAGTTTAAGCATCGTCAATATTCTGACGAGGGCCATGATAGGACGTTGTTTTACAACAAACTATGCCACAGCCACAGGAATTGGAACATCGGGAGCTGCTTTTGGTTTAATCGCTGCAGGACCGATTATGCAGTTGTTGTTAGATACGTACGGCTGGAGAGGTGCCTTATTTCTTGTAGGAGGGTTCAACCTGCATCTTAGTGTTTGTGGCAGCCTCTTAAAATCACGTGCGACTGAAACCCAGACGAACGGCAGCTACCAATCACTCGGCCCCGTCGAAGATGAGGAACCCCCAGCTCGTTCAGGTGTTGAGGATACTGGTAACTTGAAGCAGCCGCGACCTAGCGCCCTCAAAGATGCAATCAGTGCCCAGTTAAACCATTTTGGAGTCTCAGTTTGTTGCCATGTTTCATTTTGGATAACTACAACCCTGTTCATCTGCAATGTTTTCGTCAATGACCTTTGGACCATCTATTTCATTTCCCTGGCTCAAGTCAAAGGTTTTTCTCCGTACGATGCTGTAACCTTTTCCTCGGTTGCTGGAATTACCAACGTGATCTTTAAGGTGGTGTGTGGTCTCATTGTAGACAGGGGATGGTTTAAATTGCGACCAACGATAGTACTGATGACCGCATCGAGCTCCCTGTCTCTACTGATTACGCCTTGGCTAACCTCTTTTTGGTCCATGATGGCTAGTGCTGTGGTCTTTGTTAGTGCATCTGGAACACTTTACTCACTCAACGATATCTACACCAGAGAGCTGCTCGGAGTGGATCTCCTTGCCTGCGCTTTCAGCTGGATGAACCTGATGACAGCTGTGTTCGATTTCGGCCTCGGTTTCTTCCCAGGTAAAGCCAGTGCACAAAAAGCAGACGGCGCCATCTCTGATATCAGTCTACATTTAAAACCAAATCAAACCAAACAAAACCAAAACACGGGACAAAATTAAAACAAAAAACCTTGTTACTAGCGGCTAAGGGCACGAAGGGTAGCACATCAATCTTTATCCGACCGCTGAAAAATGGCTCGGATGTTCATCTTTCAACTCCCCGCACTCTTACGGTACTAACTTGAATTTCAAGCAAATCCAGTTTGTTAGTATGACGTCAGTACATTTCCACGCCTGAACACATGCGGTCACAGCCGATTTTGCAACCTTGACTCCACGGACTACGTATGCGTTCTTAAGATCGCGCAAGGCATGGTGGGAACCAACATATGGCGCGGCAAGATCGTACCTATGGAAACGAGGTTGCCACATCGGAGCCGTTGGGACAGGAAGTAGAGCAAATTTGGCTGTATACACGAGCGGCTATAATCTGTATTATAATGTGCATTGCCTGACGCCGTAATTATCGAACTTGGTAGCCTCTTTTAAATTTCCATAGAAATATTCACAACTTAAGCCTCGTGGAATGGAATGTTTCAAGCCCAGTGGAATGAAACATCACGTCATGAAATAACTCTTACTATTGCACAAACGTGAAACATTCAGAATTTTGTGTACAATACCTGCATAAATCCTCTATAGTAGGAGAGCATATAGGTCCCGCTCATGTCTGAAGCCGCTGTTGCGAAACCGATTTGTTTCCAAAGCGCCAACCACTAGTATAGTGCACTGTTAATGGTAGACAGGTTATCGACACTACATTACGTGTAGTTCTCTCCTTCTCACTGGGAATGATCATACACGAGAGGCTCTGATGGTAGCCATCTTACGGGATAGTTGTTTTGTTCCTCAGGGAAACCTCTTTTATACGTACCCCGAGAAACAAAGGCACTGACATGCCAGATAACAGCTACGCAAACCCTCTGTGTGAAATTTATGGAGGTATTGTATAACGTGGCGTGTTAAAAGCTGTACAAAATTTCGATTTTTCCATAGGATCCTGCACAAACCCTGCCCAGCAGGCTTCACTTTGCAAAGCAATGAATAATTATATACCCGAAAAGCTTGGAAAAATCATCGATTATTAATGTGATATTTTTTCATCAATTTCAATTTTTTTTCTCAGGTTGGCTTTTCGATTGTACTGGGAGTTACGACTGGGCCTTTGTCATCATTGGATGCATAGCCGCTGTGCCGCTGGTGGGGCTATTTATAGAAAGGTTCCTAGTTAAGCCAAGCGAAAGTGGCAAAGTGACCTAAAGACGGATAGAAATACATTACGTATACAGTGTTACCTTTGCTTTGAAGGGTCAACGTTAAAAAAACCTCAATGTATACAATCTTTTTATTCCAAACTAACGTCCAGACTTTGGAATGGTTGTTCATTATGCGTGGAGTACACCGTGCAGCTACTGTATGCTAATTGTCCACGTACCCTGACGCATAATCCACCAATTTGGTTCAACCTTTGGGTGTCGGAACTCTCTCTATTAAATTATATACAACCCTGATGTCAGGGATGCAACTGTGCCCCCCTCCACTTGAGAAAGGTTTGCTTACCTGTTTGCACCGGGCTCTGCTTTCAGACAGCTTGTCTTGCGTTTTGGTATTAATGTGCTGGTTTCCACTTTTTAGATTCATGTAATGTATTGTATCCTATCATGAGTTAATACTTACAATTTACACTGCCTGGAAGACTGGTTTAAGCAACGTGGAAGGCATCTTTGGTGATTTTTCCCACAGTTCCTTGTCCTTTTTGCCTTTTCAGCTTTTGTTTGCTCTGTGCCATAAGCATGGATTGGCCAATGCCACCATCCTCCCATAAATGAGAGCAGTGGACTTTGTTATATTTTTCAAGCATGCTGTCACCTTCAGTGCATGTGTGCACTTGCACATTGTCGATCATGGGCAGACCATATGCTTGCAATTCCTCATTAATTCTTAATAAAATTTTTATTGTTAGTTTTAATCATTTCTGGTAATGACACCAAGGATCCTTCAAAGGCACCCTAGGCACTGTAGCTCACAAGCCTGAAGAAGCCTGTAGAGAGGAGACAATGAGAAGCAGTTACAGTTTTAGAGGTGGGCGGAAAACCCCAGAGAAAAGGGATGTTGGTGCTAATATCTGATAAATAAATATACCGATTACGTTCTTACCTATAGAAGTATTCTTTGAAAAAAAAAACCGGACGGGGGCCAGTTGCCCCCTGTCCCCCGCTGGATACGCCACTATTCAACGCGTACTGTGGATGAGGCAACGTACACATTTTTTTGCCGAATCTGAGAGCTGTACAACAGTTGTCACCATGTCGGAACGAAGGTCAAAGTTTAACTTTTTAATCATGTGATGGTCACGTGATATGAAGACGTCAACCCCAAAATGTAACGCCGATTGAAATGCGACGCGCCGACGGCACATATGGAACACCATAGGGAACTGACAGCATCAACCTATAAAAGGACGGCACACACGTACTCTAGGCGTATCAGCATCGAAGTAGCCTGATCTTTATAGACGTGGTACGCACAGGTCGATCGGATATCATTTTATGCCGTTCCCGCCACGTTAGAGTTTTGTATCATTTAGGCTGGGAGGGGAATAATGGGGTGTATTGTTTCAGCCAATTGAAAATGCTCTTAAACATGACGGCAGCTTGACACAAGCCTACTGCGCACGTAATACACGCAGCAAGAATGCATCACCATCGTAACGTGATCTTTGGCATGTCATGGATATCGTGTTCATTCTAATTCCTGGATTTAAGAAAGGTTTGTGTTTCAAAGAATCCTATGAAGTCCTCACCGAATAATGTTGTTTCTAAGTAGTTTTTGGCACTTGTAAACAGGGGAAATTCTCTTGCGAATATGTCGAAAACGTCCTTTTCTTCAAAGTCCACGTGCCCATCCCTTTGCATGCGACAATAATGAGCCTTAAATGCGACATGTGAACTGATGTATAGTTGGCTCCTCAAATCGATACTAACTGAAGTGGCCGAAAGTAATCGGGATTGTTAAAATATCATCCAGATATCCGCCTCGAGCCAGATGCACCGCCCTCATAAGTTGGAAAGAGCCGTGGTGGTCGACAGGAGTGTTCATTTTGTTGGTGGCAATGCGACTGCAATGCCTGCGTTTCATAGTCGTTCGCGAATTACCGATATTAGCATGCAGTTGCCACCAAATTTGAGCCTCGGTTGCTTAGGAAATAACGCCCTCTCTTAAGCCAGCTTGAGACCCATAAGCACAGTAATCTCATCCTATAATCTGCCCGTTTATCTTCTTTGAGTCTAATAGCCTACAAAGATGTATTATCAATTATATAACGTCTGTTCCAGGTACTGGGTGATAACTTAATCAAAAATCTTTCGGCCGTGGAAGCTTGAAAAGCTGGTGGCCGGATATGGTTTATGGATATCACGTGACACCAGGGGGCTCTAAGCATGATACAGAAGTACATCTTATGAAACTTTCACTCCTTCAAGGGTACCTGCAATAACTGTATTTTACACAACCCTTTAAAATGCACCTTTGTGTCTAATGTTACCTTATTTTCAACTTTGGTTTCGCCATTTCAAAGGGTATTTTACTGCCTGCAAGTGGGAGTTTTATGCTATTGAGTATTCCGTATTCATGAGCAAAACTGTGATGTCAGCCAAGGAAGAAGGCCTCAATATTACATTAGTTTGTGCACAAAAGTCCTGCCTTTTTGCTGGACTAAATATTGTTTTCTTTACTGAGTCGTTGTTTATGTGCGTAGTAATATGCAAGCTTAAATCCCTTTCTCATAAAAACTTTTACTAGGTAATGTTGTCAGTAAGAGATGCTTTCAGAAGGTAAATTCTGCGTTTGAACAGAAAACCCTATGCACTTAACCATGTCGTCCCTGGATGGCAACACTGCAACAGTTCCCTCTGTTGTCCAGAAAGCATGGATAATTTTAAAATTTTAAACAAATGCACTTTTCAACGCATTTTACCAAAGAGAAATGTAAAAAGAGTCTTCAGACAATGAAGAAGAGTACAACGTCGATGAAAAATTGTGTCCAAGAAAAACTTATAAACTTTAAGCTTAGATGTTAATCCAAAAGCCGTTGTAATTTTCCCCTTTTTTAGTAGATTAAATATATTTTGGTATAGTCGTCGGGAAGTTAACCATGAAAGGAGGAATCAAAATTTAACCCAACCCCGCCCCCGTGTTGATAAGGAATTTTAATTTTGCTTGAACCAAAAAGCTTGGGTGAGGGATACTCCTATGGCCAAACCTATTATCTAAACACCATGGGATATTCACTTCCAGACTTTCCCCCGGACTATGCCTGGACTTATGGGTGCAGTCGCCCCACTGACAATAGTGTAAAACAGCATTGTTCAGGGTTCAGTACATGTAACATGCATCCCAGGGTTTTCTGAATGTCTTGAAATGTCCCTAATCTTTTAATTTCTTTTTTATTCTTTGTGGGTTAACCAATTACATTTTGAAATATTTACACAAAACAGAATCACCCCTCCCTTGAGAACTTATATGGGCCTTGCTCTGGCCGTGCCAAGTCGTCAATGGGCCAGTTCGGTATTCCAACAGCACATGCCAGTACAAGGCTATTCGGGAACAGCTGCACGCGCGAGCGTTAGTCAGTGTCGTAGTCAAGTACTTTTCGAGAACCAACGTATCCTGCCGAAATTGAACTGGTTAAGAGGGAATAAAGTAGGGGTACACAGCCATTTGATGGTAAATGCAAAAAGGTAAGATGACAAACTAAATGTAAGACTTAAGACACTCCTAGTTTTATAAAACTTAGGCTTTAAGAAAAAAAGTACTTGGAAAGTACTTGGCCGAGTACTTTTTGATAATTTTTGTCTTAAAACTTAATATTTATTAAACAGTAATAGCCTGAAGTCATCATTTTATGTCGTAATATTACCTTGTGCATGCCTATGTACATCATCTTTGCTTCCTCCAAACTAGTTAAATATTTGGCAGAGAACTTGGTACTCGAGAAGCACTCGACTACAACACTGGCGTTAGTTTGTCCTATCTGCCATGTCTGGGAAGTCATACGCAGACTCACACACGCACTTTGCTCCCGAAAGACCTTGACTTTATGGTTGCAATACACCATTAATACGCGCGCATTGAAAACAGTGCAAAATTGGACCGAAATAGCGCCACCTGTACCTGTTGACTCTCGTGAAGAGGTTGGCCTCCTTTTTTCGCCGGAAATTGAAGATAATGGCCAGAAAACCATTTTTCGTTTCAATTTTATGGGGATTAGCCACGTGAAAAATTTTCCCCGGAGATACCCCCAAAACAGCAGTTAGACTACGCTCAGCTCTGAATGTAGCCGCCCGCCTTTATCCAAAACAGGCCCGCAATTTGGGGATTTTGTGAAAGAAATACCCCGAACTGGAAACCATCAGTCCCAAATTCGGGATTTATAGGAATATTTCTATGATCCCTCCAGACTATAGCATGTCTTATTGTAAAATCCCCGTGGGATCACAAAATATTTCTGAGCTTATAATTATTGAGAAATGCAACCATTTGGTGTAATGCACCCTTAAAACACCGAACTGGCTCGTTGATAGGGGACGGGAACCAGTCTAGTATTTGCGCTGGGACGTTGGCTGCCTCGTCCCCAACTTGTGGATAATCGACACTTATATACTTGTACATGAACTTAAATTTTTGGAGCGCTCACCGATGAATTTTGACATGATTGAAGGTCACAGACATGACAAAACACGACAATAGCTAGCTAACGACTCGTCACATGATGACATCAAGTCTTGTAACATAATGTATTGACCAAACCAGAAGGTCGAGGTCGGGGAAAACGCGCTCTTCCATCGGTTGGCTGACAGTGAATGTCTCTTGATTAGGGAATATTTTACAAAAATTCCGACCGTAAACAACATATTAAAACTAAGTTGGACTTTGGATGTTACACAGGGAAGTCAAAATGGCGCTTTCGCGTAATGGGGTCTGCTTCATTCTTGTGCTGCTGTCGCCGATGTCAGCTCAAGTGCGTTTTGTTCAGCAACCTGCAAATATCACAGTGGAGGAGGGAGCGACAATGCCTACTTTTACCTGCCAAGTCATCGGTCTTGAACAGTCCTCCCAGGTCTTGTCGTTTGAGAGAGAGCACCACATCATCAGCGACGAGCTCACCATCCGTCGGCCCGTCTTGGTGGATTTGGGTCTGGATCCAACCAAGTATAAGGTCACTCTCAACATCAACGCGGACTTACAGGCCAGGGCTTACAGCCTGTCCATCACCTCCCCTTCTAGAAACGACACCAGTCGATTTAGGTGCGTCGTGTGCCGCAAGGATGTCGTTGAAGTTGCCTGCGATGCCAATCACATATTTGCCACATCTGACGAGGTGAGTCTGACTGTCAATTACCCACCTGACGATCCTTACCCGATCTGTACCCACTCGCCGCCCGCAGCGGCACCGAACGACAGCTTCGTGCGAGTGGTCGAGGGGCACGCAGCGAACTTCTCCTGCACCTCGGAAATCGCCAGTCCGCCCGTGAACCTTGACTGGACCACAGACGGCACCGAGGTGGAGAAGGACCTGGTGCAAGTCTCTGACGACGGCGGCCTCCGGGTGTCGAGGCTTAGAATTACCCCGACCAAAAATGACAACGGCACGGTGTTGACTTGTACGCTAACGAGCGAGGCTCACAACGAGACAGAGAGATCCTGCAGCCTGCTACCGTTATATGTGGCGCCCCAACAGGAGGATTACACGCGGGGTGGTTCTGACATCCCCATTTTTGTTGTCCTTGCTGTCACTGTTAGTCTTCTTATAGCTGCTATCCTCTCTGCTGTCATAACACGGAAAAAGAACAGTGGGAAATCACCAGGACACAAGATCAAGTACCAACCTACCAACACTAATGACGCCGTAAACCTCGAGACAAGTCCCAACCTTCAAGTGAATTGAAACTGCCCACCAGCTCACTAAAGCAATACTACTAAACGAACAGGACCGTATCATCAAAATGATCTCTTTCCTGAAAACGTACGTGACGAAAGAAGCTCACGATGTTATTGATTTGAAACATAACTTGCTTATACGCCAAGAACTTCGGTCTTCTGGAAAAGAAATCCATGTCGTTCCATGGGATGTTTATTGTTTTTCTTTTCGCTAACAGAGACAGGATAGGATATAACCACATTCTTATCCGTGATTTAGGTCATACGCTTCGTCGATGACGAAAAAATATTGGAACAATATAGTATTGGAATAATATAAACTAGAAATTAAAAAAACTCATCACAAATGCAAACAGAGTTGACGTCGTTGCGCTTTTAATCAATGCCAACTAAACTTACTATATTTTTACCCAGATTTTGAGCCAGCATAGTCAAATTAGTGAAAAGCTCACCTTAGTGCTACTTTCACTTGCGTCCTGGTCCAGTTTTTCTTGCCAAGTTTGACACAGAATTTTTGAATGCTTAATATTCTGTATATTGTTATGACGGAAAGAGAAAGAGACACTAGTGATGACCAGTTAAAATTAAACGATGAAGCGTTTTGGTCCTTTTAATAAACTAATAGACTTTGTATACTGAAATAGGAATTATTGTCATAATTTTCAAAGCTTTTGAGAGTTTTAGAGGACATTCGTCGATTGGTCAGTCACAAATCACCCATTATTTCCTTACAAATTTTCATGGCGTCGGCCTGAGATTAATTCCAAGAAATTGTTGTTTTTCAAGGACATAAAAGGTAAAGAGGTAAGTTAGGACACTTCAAAGAATGGAGATCAACAAAAAAAAAGAATTATGGCGTCATTAAAGGAACCGGGAAATAGAAACATTTTTATAAATTTTACTGAAACCCTTGAAATTGCATCTTTGGGTTTCAATTAACCCCATTTTAAATTTTTGTTTTGCAATTTAAACTTATATTTTGATGCATTTTTGCGAGATGCACGTCATGACAAGAAAATGTGTCCCTAGATGTGCAAGGCAAGGCCGTTTGCCCTCGATACCAATGCTCCTTACTCCGTCATATGGTTACCGTCATCACCTATTTCATGATGGCTCTGGTATTTATCGGATCGACCCTTGGATGTTTTATGATGATGTAGAAGTTCTACAAAGCCAGTTTGGAGCCTCCTCAAATCGAAATTACCTAGAAAGAAGTCAAAACTTTGAAAAAAGTTTTGCTGCGTGTGATGTGTGCGTGTGCATTCACAGCATGGTGTAGTATTTTTTGTAGACTCAGTTTTTTTGTGAAAGGGCCCAAATCGTTCGTAGGCCCTAGTAGTGCCTACTGTGACAGGTTATAGGATAATCCGGCCCTGGAGGTGAAGTTTAATAATAATAATAATAACGATAAAGACCATATAATCCGACGGCAAAGCCAAGGTTTTATAACATTAGCAACGATGGACCTGGAGACCGTGACGTGACATTAAAGGAGTTGGGAATATGAACCGACGGGTCCATGATTCTTCAATCTTACCATGCTGTTTGCATGTATATGTATAACAGCATTTCTGCAGATTGGCGCGGGAGGCCTTCCTTTTTCACGTCACAGAGGTAGGCCTACTGTAGGGGCGATCACCGACGTGGGAATAATTAATAATCAAGAACTATTTGTCAAAAATGTATCCAAGCACGACACAAATACATAGATGGTCCCCCATTTTCCAACTTTCAGTGTCTGGTATTATTTTTTCAAAATATTCTTTAATTTGTTATTTTAATGAATCGTTCTTTTTGTATTTTTACAAGGTTTGATATGTGGTGATTCATGCAACTTATCCATATTCCAAATAGTTGATAGAGTCTCGATTTGCGAATCTAACAAAACAGTGGTCACATTGCCGCAAACATTTGCCATCAGTGTGCAAACAAGATCATGACAAATCACATCCCACGACTGAAAAGGTACCTATAAATATTGTTTTCACAAAAGTATTTTAATTAACAGACGTATATGGGGGACGCATGTGGCACAAACTTTGCAACGTAGATCTATGGCATGAAAATGTTCTAACGATCTAACCTCGAGTCCATTCCTCCGGATAAGTATCCTATATTTAATGCCATAACATGAGTGATACCCGAAATTTGCACAACTAAGTTACCTTGTCGAATGCTGTAGCAGATCTACAACTGTTTTTATTTTACCTTCAGCAAGTTTTAAAACAAAAATGGAAACAAGTGGAGATTTTATTGTCATTTGCACGACTACAGTGTATTAATGTATTTTACGTTGACGCACGCGCTAAATAAAACGCAAGTTTACTCTATGCAAAGAATGTGGTGGCGCCCTAATTCCCCAATGAGCAAACCATGGTTAATTTCACCGATTCACGGTGGAAAGAACAGCGTCTTCTTTCCAAATTTCTCTTCACTTTTCAGTAAAACATACAGACAGCTACATTGTAACAATCCTCCAAAAATCAAATTGGTTTTCACTCTCATGAAGGCCTCCTTGTTAATCTCCCTGGTGGAGAATTCAGGAGGAATTTCTACCAAGCTTAACACCGTTACTAGGCCACCCAATGCTAGGCCGCGTACGTAATTTACATGTACAGGTGTAGGCCTACGTGTTATCGCACACGTGTGGATGTACATGTGCACGTTCCGCATGAACGCGTTGTGAATGTTGTGAAATGGTGGTTGAGTCACTAGGAAATACAACCGTAATAAACTCGTACTTCCGCGATATCTGTCGTGGACGTTGCAGAAGTTAATCAAACGTTTCTGCAATTTGCGAATTTACAGTATCATCATATCTTCTCCTACCTCCATGATCATATTCATAGGCCCGAGTTATTAGGCCAAATAACTTGGACTCTACAATACAAAGCGCTTTTTTTTTAAACATTTGGACATGGGCGGCTATCGCTTGACCATGTCCAAATGTTAAAAAATCGCCCGGCGATTTGTAGAGTCCAAGTTACTAGCCCCTCTATGCATGCACGCATGGGCTTAAGCCCCACCTTAAATCGATACATGAGCGTGCAATTTGAAAACGGGAAATAGGCTTAATATTGTAACTTGTGGTCAGGTGGTTGTAGCAGCAGTCTGTGGAACCCTCTTTCTTGTGCTTGGTGAGTACACGTCAACTAAACTTCATACTATTAAAACAGACCTGTAAACTATTCACTAATTTTCTTCCAGAATGCCTGTTTTTTAAAAAGTGGTCAGGCCTATTTTGTACTTTGGAAGTTGTAGGCCTAGAAGGCCAAGCTATGAAGAAAAATGTATTTGATTGTAACATGACTTCCCAATTCCTAAGTCACTGACCATAAGCATTGGCATTGCCTATCTATACAAAGTTTCAGATTCCACTATGCGGCAGACAGTTGCGGTTCTGTGATTGCTCCATTGATGATAAAATTGACAGGAATGATGCTGAGTGAGCAGACAGACCATCGCTCGGATTTGGGCCCTGCAATCTTTATCAAATTTTTTTTTTTTCATTTGTTATTTACAGGACCACTACTTCTATTGTGTAGTGCTGGCGCTAAGCTTGGTTTGATCAAAAGGAACTGTTTCAGAGTTTTGCACGGTTCAACCCGCTTTGTTCTTGCATTGTGCCCCATGCAGTAGCTCAAATTAATTTGTCTTGCGTAATCTGCAATATGGGCGTTTCACAATAATGCTCCTCCAAGAGTCTGCAATGCGTTGGCCAATTACAATGTGCGATATCTGTTGACCCTATGCACGTTTGGAAAGGGTCGACGATTTTGCGCATTGTGAATGGCCAAAGCATTGCAAACTCTTGGAGGCGCACTATTGTGAATCGCCCGTATTCAAGATTGGGATTTTATTCAGGCATTGTATAATAATGTTGCTTACACAAAACTCAGCTTTGTTTATAAAGATTGAATGTCAACCGTTGTCTCCCGGCACAGGCTGTTTTTGTGAGCACCATGGGTAAGGCACTCTCATCGTTTCCACAGAGGAGAAACTGGATAAGCGGAGGAATGGACGACAAAAACAAGTTGACCCTCGACCCCAGCAACACCTTGCAGAATCAGGTATTGGGCACTATCTACGGCAACTGCATTGGTGACGCCATTGGACTGATGACAGAGTTTCTCAGCAAAGACCAGGCGAGGAAGGTAAGAGAGCTTGGCTGGTAAAGTGTGCTTGTGATCAAGCCCTAGCCATTTCCCTATAAAGTATTGGACATCACAACATGAAGGGTCTTTTAAGTAGTCTTTGCTAATTTATGCATTCGGTAACCATTCCATTGGTGTTTAAAAATACCCCAAATGTGCATGCCTTTGCAAAAGAGTTGGACGGTGTTCAAGGCAAACTAGGAAGTTGAAGAGAGACGTCATTGATCCAAATGCTTGTACAGCACTCAATATTGTGAATGGTTTCCGTCACACCTTCCTTTGGAGTCAGAGCGGGGAGAGCTGTGTTACTTCATTTCTAGAGCATTTCTGACCGAGTTTCTGTTTGTCTTCTGCGCAGTATTATGGTGGCAAGCACCTGGAGTATCCAATGAAAGAAATTGCGGCTGCTAAATTCTTTCATCAGATGGTCTTCCCAGAAGCCGATTGGACGGATGACAGTGATCAGATGATCTTGATCCTCCAATCACTGATGGACAACAATGGAAAGGTATGGTGGTGTGTGGCTTTTCTTCCAAAGCTGATCTTTGTCTCGGACATTGTCTTTGGCCTGTAGACCTGTAGCAGTGGGACAAAAGGTCTTTGATTTCACATCGTGTGGTTTCAAAAAAAGTGTCCAGCCTTTGCCAGAATAATTTAAGGAGTTGCATATCACCAGAGAGGTGTATAAGCAAACGTCAGACCAATCTCTTTACATAGGCAGCGGGACGAAATAAGACATGTTCGATTATTTTTTCACATCCGCTTTCACCAGATCTAATGTCAACATAAAGGTGTGTGGGGCATAATGCATTTTTACCAGATGTATTGTTTATGGTATGTCAGATCTACAAAGAAAGTCACATAGTTAAAAATAGAAGCTGTGATAGAAACAGATATCATGTGACTGGCTGCCACATGACTAGTTAGCTTGTATTTAGTTGGTTATAAATTGGCTGGCTATAAAACAGAACTGGGCATGTGTATGGATAAGGTTACCGTCTTCCACAATAGTTGACAATAATGTTATTGGTAATGCATTGGTTCTGGTGAACCTGGTCAAATTGTAAAGGTGTGTTGCGGGCTCTATCAGGCATGAGCTCAGTCCCTGTGTTTCTCTGCTCGCCCAGGCCAATGCTGTGGATTTCTCCAAGAAATTGCTGGAGTGGGTGAAGCATGGCTTTGCCGAGCTGGGAGATCCTTGCGGCATGGGGTTGGGCCAAACCACCTCCAAGGTGGTGCATCACGAGAACTTCACAACCGACCCTCATGAGGTGAGATGTCTGGATATGTTCGGGCTCACGCCAAAGGGGACACACATGTATTCCATTCAGACTAGACAAAAATGTTCCGAGGTGGTAATGCAGTAGACTTATCTACCAACTGTTTAGATTTTTAGTCAGAACTGTTCAGATTTTCAATTTCTCAAAGGCTTAAAAATCAGGCTTCATATTTTCCAGGTTTTGGGAGAAAAATATCAATCTAAAAAGACGTCTTGCAAATCACCCCGCACTGTCTGGGAAGTTTGCTTGTCCCCACCACCACAATAGTACTACACACTGAGAAGGGTTTAGCTCCTGTGGTTGTGTCCAAATCACTTGACTGTTGCTTGAAATTACGCACAGGCATCTGGACCCAACCTGTTATCGCAGCCTGGCCCCAGGGCACTCAGGTTGCATACACACTTCTTGTTCTGTTTTCTGACTTACCGATGTTGGCAGGTACGAACATGTAGCATGGTTCTTCCAGTCAGCTTTTCTGGCTTACAATCATTCTGTAATTGGCGCTAGCGCCGCGGGTTGAACTTGAAATAAAATGAAATAAAATTAAAAATGTGTCGGAGCACTGTGCTTTACAGTGGAGGTAGACAAACAGTTAGACCCTCAATGTTTTTGTGCCGTCGGATACCTTGTCCCTTGTAGGCAGCATTAAGTGTTTGGGAGAAAAGTAACCGTACTGTAGCACCAAATGGCGGAGTCATGAGAACCTCGATTGTAGGAGTCCACCAATATGATGACATCAGTCAAGTCATCGGCAACACCAAGGTCTTCTGTAAGGTGACCCATGCAGATCCTAGGTAAGTTTCTCGTACCAAATGATTTCTTCAACAAATGTTTGGTTCTTTGAGCCATTTCATAATGCGATACTCATTGTCAGAGCATTCAGAGACCACTTTTATCACTTTTTTTTTCTGATTTGGCTGTTTGATAGGTGTGTAGCATCCTGCGTTGCCGTGACGACAGCTATTTCTATGATGCTGCAAGGATTACATAAGACATCAAAAGGCCACTATGATGTCGCAAGAATCACCGAAGCATCTTTTAATTATGCTAAGGAGTGTCTGCTGCGAGATGACAAGGGGAACTTGGATGAAGAGCAGGTAACGATTGGAACTTTTCCCAAGCCTGCTCTTGTCCTTGTCAGGAGACAGTCTTGAGTAAACCCCTGGTGTCAACGATGCGGTGATAGCGATTGACACATATCACCAAAATTGGTCATAACTTTTTTCCAAGGGGCCAACTTGGCAAAGATTTTTTGTAATCCCCACCCCAGGCATAGACCACAAGCCTGTAAACTCCAATTGGCCAGACCCCAACCACTGCCGAGTTAAAATTCTTGAAAGATTAGTCACCCCAAGGAGGCGAGATGGTTGCTATCAGGAACTGGATTTCTTTGTTTACAGACATGTGCTGACTGGTCGCGGCTTTTGGGTTGTGACCTGGTATTAATCATACTTCCACAGCAAAATAATGAAATTTAGTTAGCGAGGGGACCTGGGGGATGTATTAGCTACCATAAAAGAGTCGCACAGGTTCAGGCATGACCGGGAACTGACCCGGTGATCAGAATCTTTATGTGGAGAAAACAGTCTTCATTTTTGGACGTGGCTACCCCGAGAAGTAAATTACTGTAATATCAAAGTGATTTCTTTGACTTGGTATCCGTTGCAGCAGTATGAGAAATTTGGAATTCTTGTGAAATGTTGTGCACATATGGAATCGCTATTTTCATTTGCAGTGCTCTGTACTCTCCTCTGGTAACAGAAATTGACTTGCTGTAAACGTTGCACCGTTTGGCTGAGAGCAAAGGCAGGTTTGCACTGAGTGCAAAATTTGTTGTCTCAAAACTTTCACAATGAAAGTTGCCCAAATCATGTCCAACTCCTGCAAACTTGCCATTTCTGAAAGTTCAGTGCTTGCATATGAGCCGGTCTGGAGAGTAGCTGTAGGCGATTCTCATTGCAGTACATCTCCAAGAAGTGGATGAGGAAAGGCCACTCAACAAATTTTGGTCATCAGGTGCTTGTGGGGAAATTTTTGAATTTTTCCTGATGTTTGCTTGTTTCAGTCGAAGATTCGAAGCGTATTTTGAGTATCAATATTCATGGAAAAATACCTTGGTTTTGTTGACCGTAAACTTGGAAAATGACCTCTCCGTGGCAATTTCTTGATGGTGCACTGTATTGTGAGTCGCCTGTAAGGAAACATTGTCTCACTTGTATGTTTTACTTGTTCAGGTCAGAGAGTTGCAGTTTCACATGAACGCGTCCTTGTCCGAGCTGGAGCTGGATGACCGGAAGAAGATTGGCTACACCTTCAAGTGTCTTGGCGCTGGGTTCTGGGCCCTGAGGCAGAGCAGTTTTAGAGATGCCATCGAGGCCATTACATTGGAGGTGAGAAAAACCACGCAAAAAGGTTTGCCCAGTCCTTGAAGACGAGTCTGAAGTCGCCAGCGCCACTTTTGAGTCTTAGTTTGTATTGGAAAAAGCAAGCTTTGTTTGCTGTTGTTGTGTATCGGTCAGTTTTGCATCCTTGTGAAAATGGACACCATGGACACCAAAATGTTGAGGGAGTGCTACATGCAAGATTCTTGTAGTGGCCAGTAACGCCAGCGGTTCCCAGCAACTTTGGTCTCTTTTTTCGCAGAGCAAGTCACAAACGTTGTGACCTCAGCTAGTTTCAAGATGTTCTGTAGGTGTCACAAATGCGAGCAAACAGGTGGCATCCTGTCCCCACTCCCCTAGAGGGTTTCCCAGTTAGGAGGCTCTAACTGAGAAAAGCACCACCTCTTTGGAGTTTTTTATTAGTTTGCACAGGTTATCTTGTGTCAACAAACTTGAGAGGCTAGTGGTTTGTACCTTTGTTGATATTGATTCTTATTTCCCCGGGGTCAGAATATGAGATTGAATCGTCATGAAAGGACTTAGATCAGGTTTTTGCACTCTGTGTTACCACTCTACAAACTTTGAATTGTGAAAAAAGACCAAAGCAAACCCTAGAACACTAACTACAATTTCATGGTTCGGTGCTTGAAAGCAGTGGTAGGTACTCTCTGCAGTTTGTTGGTTTTTGATTACGGATTACCAGTAATTTGTTTAGTGAAGGGATTAAGAGGATAAGAAGCTGGGAAAGGTGTGGAAATGTCAGCAACGACAAGACAGTGGAAATCTGGCCTGTCTCTCTAGTGAAGTGTTTCCCTCATGGAGAAAGAACAACACGGTTCTTACCCACTAAACAAATGTGAGTCAGTAATCATGTCAGAAATGGAGAAAGTGTGGTGACAAAGTCAGAGTCAGGAAAGGATTAAAATTGTTTCTGGAGATGGCGTTTTGACTATTGGGGGATTTGTTGAATCTTTCCCGCTGTAGCAGTTACAGCTTTCTTAATCTCTGCCGTGAGCCCCGAGCTGGACAATAGAGAGTGCAATTTCCCAACAATGGTGACTCTTTTGGTTGGAACTGCACTATACTGCTCACAAATGACTTTGAAATGCATGCGTTACTGACGCGTTCCTACCAGCAGAATGAACACTCCCGATCAACATGGTTCTTTTCAACCAATGAGGGGGTACTTCTGCTCAAGGTGAACAATGCACACATTATCATACTCTTGTATCGATGAAGGGGATTTCTTGCCTTCGGCCTTTGATGAAAGACGGAAGATCGGTGCCAGTATACAAGATGTACGGTCAAAAAATGATTGAGCATATTTACAGACGTGTGAAAGATCTGACTCACGGAACATAATCAACACTAGGCACATGCTTGGTAGCCCGTTTTGATCAAGCCGAGCTCTGCCGTAAATTTGCGAGTGAATACTAACCTCCACCACATTGGCTTTCGTTGAAGGACACAGACATTTTAAGAAAGTTGATACCCTGAGATGTCACTGTGTCGTTCATCTCTCATTTGGTTTAAATCTCTATCAATGGATGTCACCTTTGTAGGAAGCTTACAACTGTGTATACAGCACTAACAGGTGGGTGTGTCCGCAGTGTGCAAATGTTCTATACTCACACAGGTGTTGATCCAAATATGTTTGAAAGACAGCACAGCGGATGCTAGACAAAAATTCTAGTGCGTGTGGCAGTCTCTTGGATGTGATGTCGTTTGAGAGAGACCTGTACGGTGTCGAAAGTTCACGCCCAAGTGGGCTGTAGGCAGTGCATTGTACAGGGATGCCATGTATTATTTTTCTCTCTCCTTTAGGGCGGAGACGCAGACACCAATGGGGCGGTGGCAGGTGCTCTGCTGGGTTGCAAACTGGGATACTGCAAGCTGCCTTCGTCCTGGAAGAACGAGTTGAAACACAAGGAATGGCTGGATGATATCCTTGCAAGGTTGGAAAGAAACTTACCGAGATTTCTCTCTGTGTACACTTGCAGAGCCTATAGAGGGTTTTCATGTGATGTAACATGATGGGCAAAGGCATTTCAGGAAGTGTACTGTGTCTGCGGAGACACATGCATTTTAGTATCTGTGTATTTCTATTGGCAATTTCATGTACGTGAGAATGTTGAGAGACTTCCAAGGCGCGCTCGTTTCCCTGCACATCTGTATAAATTTGATGTTGGCTGTCAAAAATCACGTGACTTAAAATCCTCTATACAAGACACAATAATTCACTGAGGTTAAACCTAGATACTAGCTGGTCATTCAGTCTCTGGAACTAACAGTTTGGAACTGACAACAGCGTCTTTTTCAGGACCACCGTTAGCACAGCAAACGGGGTTGTTGTCCACATCAGCATTAAGTTATTTTGCAGTGTCAAAAGTACAGAATTTTACAACATAATTGCAACAATTTGATACAATATTCCCATCCAGATATTTTCAGTCTGGCATCATGACAGAGAGCTGCGGTACACCTGTTGATGGACCTGAGGTTGGTATCCGTCTCACCGGTGGAGAGCAGGATGACGCGGAGCAGGCAACCGCTCCCAAGACAGGAGGAGATTGCTCTTCAGCTACCGACACTACAAAAGATATGACCACAGAACTGTCGGCAGAGGTCAAAGTTCAGAGTGCAGACTTGTCTCCTGACCAACAAGCTTCTATCAGTAAATCTGAGGTCACGGCTGAAGGTCAGCAGGACCCTGAGGATCCCCACAGGTCAAAGGATCAACCAGAAGAGGCCTCAGAGGTCACAGCTGAAACTGAGGTCAGAGGTCAATGCAACTCGCCAGCCAGTGATCCTACAGAGGCTACACAGATTGGTGAATCTTCCGGTGACCTTTCCGAAACCAAACCGGAAGATCTTGCTTGTCAGTGAGACGGAGCCAAAGCCGAGAATCCAGTGACAACACTCAAGATTAAGTATCGAATGTCACAAAGGAAAATGCAAAGAAAACTTTCTCCCTGTAGAATGCATTTAAGGAAATTTGGCTTGGCCTATAAATCAGGTGGCTGAGGCTTAGACTCATTCATCTATGGGAAGTGACAGCAGGCACTAGGCAGTGACTATAATTCAGATGGAGGGTAATCCCAAACTCAGTAAGAGCAAATGAAAAGGGAATGACTGCCAAAACAACTTCTATTTGTCTATCAGTGCAATTAATTGTGACTAGATCATATGAATGAAAACAGATTTCCAGTCACATATTGTGGTATCGTAGCATTAGATTTAATTGTGGGCAATGCATATTCTTCTATAACTACATACATATACTTAGAGTCTAATGGTTTTTATACTGCGTATCAAATTGATAGAATCCTTGGAATTGATAGAGACAGTAATTTTTTTATTGATGTTTGTTGAAATTATGTTCGGCAGTGGATTTGTGTCAGTTCTGGTGCGTTCAGTGTCTGGGCCCAATTTTTCAGTCATTAATCAAAGAAAATGTGCTATGCGAAAGCATAGTACGAAGCTGAAGTAGGCAGAGAACCTCTGGTGGTGGAAGGAGAGGGGGAGGCAGTGCCCCTTGCACTTTTTTGACTGGGCGGGCATGACCTCCCTGCACTTGTAGCAGGTTCTATAATGGGGCTTTACGGATCGGTTTGTTAATTAATGGCTGATGCTTGATGGTCTAACAGCTGGCCTTGCCCTTTTTGGCCGCCATTGAAGAGAACCAGCTGCAAGTAGTGCACATCACAAGGCATTTTGGCTGGTTAACCTCTCATTCCAGAGTCCGTCATTATTTGGCAAAGCACACCTCAGTTGTACTTTGCTGCTGTGTTCCCCACGTCTTTTATATTTGCTGTTTTCCGTTCTAATAAGCCCAGCCGTCAAGCTCACCCCATGTTGTTCCGAACAGTGGCGTAACTACATGGGGATGGGGGAATATGTGCCCCCAGTTTCCCCGTTTTTTTGAACTTTTGGAATGTACACAACCTTTGTACAAGTTGTAGTTCATTGACTCTTGGTGTCCCCCGCCCACCCCCCAAAAATGCGTGCACCCCTGGGTGCCCTCTAAAAATATCACCCTAGTTATGCCGCGATTCCAACCAGCCACAGCTTTGACTTAAGTCTGACTACGTGTGCATGTATTTATCACATGCAGCTAGAATCCTCATTGTGAGATAGGAGAGTTACATAAAACTGCCACTTTGCACCATGAGCGAGGCACACTCGATGTGGTGTATTCAAGAGCAAACTAATTGAAGTATTTCCCATTTTTGTAAGTATTGGGACGATTTTTGGTTTGCACACTTTGGCAGGGCAGTTAACAGAGTTGCCCTCAAAAACCACGTTTGAGCTCTAAGAAGTCACCAAAATTACTAGTGTGATTTATTTTTATCTTGCCAGAAACAGGTGTGTCCATGTATTTTTCCCCTTTCAAAAAACTTTAAATTGTAAAAAAGACAATTTTTTGCTTTCTGTGTAAGTAAATTTGATGGAATGCAACTCATAGCTTGACCAATTTATATCTGAATGTGTTAAACTGTGCTGAAAAGAACAAAAAAAAATCTGTGGTTTTTTTTTGGTTACTGGACAAGAGCCAGTCAGTAGAAGAGTGCTTGTAGGTTTGGAAGAACTAGCAAAAGGAAATAGCCACATGCATTTCTTATTTAGCGCAGCAAGAAGCCTTTTGAAATGAATCCTCGAAATATTTTTTCCTCATGCTGTACAAGAAATACAGAGTTTTTTGTCAAGCTAATTATTTAAAATATTTTGATACTGTAATAATGTCATTTTGTATTAATTTTGAGAGAAGTAGCCTACTATATAGGTGGATTAACCTCCATGCCTAAATTTCAGTTTCTCTTTGTGCACCTTTTTTATGTATGAGGTAGTGACTGATGTCTTTCAATCAGTCTGTATCACTTGGTGTCTTTTGACTGTCTGGGGTCAAAGTTGCGGGGAGAAAGTTGAAAAGAAGTTGTAGAAAATAAATATTGTTTAAAGCCATATAAAAAATATAGTTTTTCATCCATCCATATTTTAATGGCAGAGACTTTTTAATTGAAAGAAGCTTTAACTCTATCAGGTTTTAAACTTACATCAATTACTATATAAACATAATTAGAAACAAGTAAAGAAATTAAAAATAACTATGCCTTGCTCTCTTTAAACAGTGCACCAGATGAAAACTACTTAGCGGCTGACATCCAATAACAGTTCATTTTTGTGGTAATAGAAAAATAATTTAAGATTTTCATTTACTTTTGGTGCTGTGTCTCTCGCCAGACGTATAGGGTCTGTGATAGGGGTCAATCTGTAAATTGGGGGTCTATAAGTATGACCTTCAATCTGCATCCCAATTACACCTGACCTGGGTAATTTGGCATGGAAATATCAGTGAAATTATTTGTTTTGTTTGGCTGGTAATTTAGATTACCTTATCAATCATGGAAATGAAATTATGTGTTCTTAACTTACAAAACGTATGTCAGGTGTGACAGAAAAACAAAGTAATTGGACCCATATGTATGCAGTATGACCCATAGGCATATCTTCACCATGAAAGCCAAATATGTCGTCTGAAGTAACTTTGAGATTGTCAATTTAAAAAAAAAATACTAGACCTTAAATGAAAAGTCTTCTGCCATCTGTACAGTTATATGTAGTCACCAGAGAGTAACAATATCTTGAGTTTATGAATTTGCCAATATTTGTGGGAAAATATTCAGAAATTTTTAATTAAACATAATGATTAGCCATATTGTGAAACTAACTTGTGAATATTCTCAGAAAACTGTTGAAGAGTCAGAAGGTATCTCGATCAGCATGTTGAACTTTTTTTTTCACGGCAAGGGCTGTAACGGGAGCTAGTAACTTTGTGCACTTTCTAGTAAAACCCTTTAACCCTGCAACCTGCAATGCCAGCCTGGTTGCATCCATGACCAAAATGACTGCCAAGTCTTGGACAAACTGCCAGTTTCAGTTGGTCCCGTGGAGTAGTCCCTTAATTGTCCTTTGTCCATTTGCACACGTTAACCCATCCGTCATTACAAAGAATGAAGTGAAGCCAGGAGGCACTATGGTAATATCACCTTGTGTTAAGTGAATTTTGTTATATTAATACATGCTTCAATCAATGCGTTGGTATTCACCATGACAGCAGATTTTATGACAGAAAATGCCTGTTTTCTGTGGGGTTCCTGGGCGCGCAGTGGATTACCAACCCTACAGTCCAGGGGGGGGGGGGTGGTGATAGGCCTTGCGCAGAGTTCAGTTCACAAAGTCCCGATCTTGTAGTGCCATTGGTTGTTCAATCAACTTCAAGCATGCCGACCAACAAAGGCCGCAGCGGCTCAAAAAATATGCTTGTAAAAATTTTAATTATGTTGAAAATTCTTGCACGCCTTCTGGGCTGGTAAAGTGGAACCTCTTTCAAAGACCCGGAGGAGCATCTAGGCAAAAGATCGTACGGTGCCGCGTACCGGTACCAGCGCCCAATGCTATCTTTGATCCATTTTCTAACACGGTACACGCAGTAAGAGTGTTCGCTTTCTTCTTGTACTTGTATGTTTAAGGGATTTCTTTTCTGAAGGGCGCCCTCTGCAGCACAATCCTAATCGAGATCCACTCCAGGTTCAGCATGATTGGGCGTGAAGCTGTTTGGATCAGGGCAGCATGGGTGACAACGTGGGCGTGTCTGTGGGAGATAGTGCGCAGGAAATCTTGAAGTTGTTCCATCTGTGATAAATGATGGGGCAGGTTTTCCCAGCGTTTAGGTTGCAGAAACTCGGTAGCCTGCACAAAACATAAAGATCTGCGTTTCACGAGTGTTCCAGTTGGGCGCCCAAGTTCATAAATCGTCTCTAGCTCCCAAACCCGTCATTTTCCAGTTTTGAAAATAGCTACATAAAGTTGTGAATTCAAAACACATATGGACTTAGTTGTGCTTTTACTTTATTTTAGTTATTATTTCCGACAACTAAGTTTAAGAACACAATTGCTCATCTTCATCTCAAAACCAAAATTAGCTATCTTATTTACATGTGCAAAGCCAGGTGGATTAATTGTTCTTTTGTGACGAATTATCAAAGATACAATTGTCAATAAAAATATCTTGCATTTATTCAATGAAAAAGACATATTGCATCCAAAACCATTTCTTTATGGTTTCTTGTTTTGTAATTCTCTGGGTGTTTTGTACGGCGTGCCTTATGCAAGCTTTTCAGTGCATTTTGGGGGGTTTACCATCTCTTGAAGGACAATAGAAACTTTTGGGCTAGCACTTTTCAGTTTAGGCGCATTAAACAGCCCAATCATCAGCGGCGCATTTTTCGCGATATTGACCAATCACAACGCGTCCTCACAGCAGACGTACCAAATCCAAAATGGCCGGTACGGAGAAAACTGCAGGTGAGAATTCCGTACACGAGGATTTGTTTTATTTTATTGAAATGCTGCGAATGGAATTTTGTTCTGTTATGCATTTTGTGGGTATAGAATTAAGCAAATGTATGCACCGTGAAAATTGTCGGGTAGGGTGCTCTCTAAAGGGAATAATTTACGGCAGGCGTTAGCCAAGTCGGAGCAGAAGGTCTGTTTGTTGATCTCGTTCGGCAAACAATGGCAAACGCTGAGCAACGTGGATTTTCGCGATTGGAAGTGTTGAATGTTTAATGTTTGATGGTCATCAGTAACTCGATCCTAGTCGTTAGAGGGGGCGATGTAAATTTGATGTCGTTTCAAAGTATTGCAAATTGTGATGTGAAGCTTATCAACATTATCAGCCGTGTCAGTTGTTCAGAAACAGTAGCCAAACAAAATGACAAACATACATTGATGCAACATGTGCAATTGCAAAGGTTTTTGCATCATCAATGTCAGACATTGCTTGAGTTTTATCATGATGAATAAGCCTAGAGTCAGATGATGTTTAAATTCATACTCCTTAACGGTCTTGAAGCGGGTGTGATGTTTCTTGTGTGTGACCTGTTTGTCAGGCATGTCTTGCCTGTCCGGAGATCGAGAGTGAATCATGGAAATTCAGGGAAAAATTGTGAATATAGGCCTAGTCTTGATAGTTATTAGTTTTGATTGAACATTCCATTTTGTCTTTCGTATTTTGGTCATCGTGTACCTTTGTGTTCTGAGCCATTCTTGAGAAGAGTTCTAATTACGGACACCACCAAGTTTTCCCTGCAGTGACTTGTTAGCCATCTGAATGTATTCAACTACACGTACATGTATCCTTAAGTTAAAAGTCAAACTGTGAAAATATTGAGATACATGTAATGTTTTCACTGAGAAAATACCAAGAAATTTCCTGACTATTCTCAGAGGATTTACACACAGGCAGTCAAGCAGTTCAGTATATGGAACTCCTTCCCCGATTTCTAGTCGCATGCATGCCTCCTATCCTCACGGGCAAAAACTGTTGATATTTGAGAGACCCCTAGGTAAGGTTGGGATGTTTACACGTTTAAACGTAAATGAAAAAATATCCAAATCTGTGTACAGATTGTCCCAAACTTTTGAATGGAACCGCCTCGTTTTGATTGCTGCAATCTGGCATTCATTTTTATTAAATGTAAACAATGCTTGTAAAACTGCTCGGACATATCAAAGGAATACCATGGATTCATAACTGGAACTTTGTGTCAACTATTAACATTGTATACAATTAGTTGCATTTAAAGTTTTCAATGACACCGTGGTTAGGGTGGGACGCTTACATGTTAAACTGTACGGGAAAGTTTTCTAAACATTTTTCAAATTAAGCATAAATTCCCGACCTTACTCTAATGTCATTTACGATGAGACCCAAATTTATAAAACCCTAAAAGCCAAGTAAAAAATAAACCTATCATTAAGATTGTGAAAATGGGAGGAGGCAAAATGTTTTATGTTTAAGCTTTGCTGTTAAGATTTGTTAACTTTTGATGTTCATTTTTAACAAATACCGTAATTTTTCGGGGCATTAGCACCCTGTTCCTATAATAAAGAAAATGAAGTCTACTTTTTCAAACTAACTGACATTCAGACCTTGAAGATCTATTCCTTAATCCTAGTAGCTCTAGTTTTGGTGAATTTTGACAAAATTTAAGCAAGAAAACCAGAACTTTTTTACCTGATTTCAGTGAAAGACATCTGTATCACGCCATTTTTGTTTCATGTCTCGTTACTTGACCCAGCCATTGTGGATATTCTGAATTTCATAAAAGAAACTTTTATGGTTCCAGGTCAAGGAACCAGACTACATGCGCGGATTCGTCTTCTTTCATAGGTTTTCGTCATGTCATTTTATGCTGCCATTTTACCCCATAATTTCCGTTATGAACCAAAGCCCGTTCATCTTTTCTTTCTGATATGAAAAAGAACATCACCACCAACTTATCCAGGTAAGTTGTTTAAAAACTAAAGACCTTGTGTCCTTATTATATGAACAGGGTGTAGTAATGAATACCATTTTTGGCAAGCTGCAAAGCAAGTGCGAGTCTATGTAATACTGATTTCTGTCTTCTGTCCGTCCGTCAGTGGGTGTGTCCATCCGTCCCTCCATCCGGCCGTCCTTAAATGTTAAAGTTTTCCTTGCAGGTCCATAGATGTTAAAATGTGCCACTGAGTGCTTGGTTGCTTCTTCTTGGAATTCCATCAGTATTTAAATAGTCTTCTATGGCATTAATGCTTAGAAACGTATGAATTTAATGAAAAAATTATAAAAGTTGAATGTTAAAGTTTTGAGTTGTATTGTG